ATAAGACCCCCCTTGGGGAGTTCTGCCAATAGTTGCCACGCTTAACAGGCAAATTGGCAATCGCAGTTAGGCTTTGAAGATGTTTTAAAAGGAACGCTGCTGCCCATCCCTCGCCCTCTTAGTCGCGTCTTACGACATCCACGAGAATAGAAGGAGTAGCCCATTCCACGCCAAAGCTACACAGCCAGACCAATTCAGAACTGGCAAACAGGTTGCGTAACTCGTAAAGAAAAAAACAAAATTTTGATCATTTGGGAATCTCCTGTCGACAGTTGCTTGAAAGTGATTATGTAAATAAAAACTTCGGGTTTTCCTCACGTCTGTATGTACGTCAGGGTACGGTATGTGATGACGTCACGTTGACTTGAGCATTACATTTGCTCCCCTTTGAACTATGGTAATGCCATCGCGTTGTTAACAAACCGCTTTGTTACCAATGACGTGATTTGAATATATTTGATATTGAGATTATGTATTTAAAAAAAAGCTATTTCAATTTGTTTATGGCGTTTAGTAAAAAAAAAAAAAAAAACTTTATTTTCTTTTTATTTATTCTTTATTGTAAAGACTGGTACTACATAAAAATATGACAGAGGTATGTCAATGTACAAAGGCGAGCTGAACTTTTTTTATGCAACTTAAAATGGCGAACAAACTGACGGCCCACCTAATGGAAAATGGTTACCGTCGCCTATAGACACGAGCAGTACCATGGACATAACAGAGTATACTGTTTCGTCCATGACACCCCCCATACGTTGCTATTCCTGAGGACACAGGTGTTATTCCTCTGTACTCTGTAAAATGCAAAAACAACTGCTTCACGGTAGAAACACGAATGGGACAGAGGTGGCCAAGCAAACGACTTTTGTACAAAGTGTAACAGTTCTCTTCCAGCAAAAGCCAAAGTGGAAAGGAGCATCAATGTCAACGGGTTTTTTTTAATGGGTGAAAATGGCATGGCAACCCCGCCCGCGCTAACGGGATACGCTGGCGGGTCACCAGTGAAGGGTGATAGATGAGAATGAAAACAGACCAGTTAGCCCATCATGATGAATTCATCAGGAATTAACCATAATAGTTTCGAGGGGGAACCGCGAGAAGGTCGACCTGGTTGGGTATATTGCTAGCAACGGGATTCTCAGTCTCTATTACTAACAATCCCTTTCCCCCCAATGTCAATGGGTAGAGCGGTGTACAATATTGTGACATTTTACAAACAAAAAAGAACCAGACTTAAGTTTCTACATAAACTTCACTACAACAAGACTGCTTCAAGGAACGGTCTTGAGCCACCTACATTCACTGACTCGCTGCAAATAAATTTGATCAATCCAATGTGTCTCCGAAACATCTTGCCATTCATCGGTGTTATAGGTATATCAGTCTAATATGTCTACGAAACATCTACTCATTCATTCGTGTGTCATATATGAGTCTAATGTGTCTACGAAACATCTAGTCATTCTTCGGTGTGTTATATATAAGTCTAATGTGTCTACGAAACATCTAGCCATTCTTCGGTGTGTATCAATCTAATGTGTCTAGAAAACATCTTGTCATTCTTCGGTGTGTTATAATATCAGTCTAATGTGTCTACGAAATATCTTGTCATTCTTCGGTGTGTTATATATAAGTCTAATGTGTCTACGAAACATCTTGTCATTCTTCGGTGTGTTATATATAAGTCTAATGTGTCTACGAAACATCTAGCCATTCTTCGGTGTGTATCAATCTAATGTGTCTAGAAAACATCTTGTCATTCTTCGGTGTGTTATAATATCAGTCTAATATGTCTACGAAACATTTTATTATTCATCGATGTGTTATATATCAGTCTAATGTGTCTACGAAACATCTAGTCATTCTTCGGTGTGTAATATATAAGTCTAATGTGTCTACAAAACATCTAGCCATTCTTCGATGTGTTATATATTAGTCTAATGTGTCTACGAAACATCTTGCTATTCATCGGTGTGTTATATTTCAGTCTAATGTGTCTACGAAATATCTTGTCATTCTTCGGTGTGTTATATATAAGTCTAATGTGTCTACGAAACATCTTGCCATTCTTCGATGTGTTATATATTAGTCTTATGTGTCTACGAAACATCTAGCCATTCTTTGGTGTGTATCAATCTAATGTGTCTACGAAGCATCTTGTCATTCATCGGTGTGTTATAATATCAGTCTAATATGTCTACGAAACATTTTATTATTCATCGATGTGTTATATATCAGTCTAATGTGTCTACGAAATATCTTGTCATTCTTTGGTGTGTTATATATAAGTCTAATGTGTCTACGAAACATCTCGTTATTCATCCGTGTATCATATATCAGTCTAATGTGTCTACGATGGATGGAATGGATTGGATAAGGTAATCGGATGGTTCTTACAAGATGCAGGAGCAGCAGGAGAGGACTGGACTTGGAGGTTCTCAGGATATGGCGGTATTGAATACCTGGAACAAGTGCGTGATTGCCAAACAATATAAATTAATAATTGAACAATTTACACAAACAACGCCATCTGGTGGCAATCTAGTTTACTAGTTAGTTAATTAGAATTTATTTTTTTAATTCCGCTACCATTTAGTATGCCGACTGCTGACACCCGACGATTGATAGAGGGAAAAGGGATTGTTAGTCAATGGTGTTAGTTGGGGTCAATCAAACCCCATTGCTAGCAATACATCCTGTCAGGTCGACCTCCACGCGGTTCCCCCTGGAAAGCATCGCGGCTAATTCTAGTGAAATTCGTCATGATGGGCTAACTGACCTGCTTTCATCCTCACCTTTCATGTCTCACTGGTACCCCGCCAGCGTATACCGATACCGCAGACGGGGTTACCATTCCCTTATAACCCTTATTATTGCGGGAGAAAGGGATTGTTAGTAATGGAGATTGAGAATCCCATTGCTAGCAATATACCCAACCAGGTCGACCTCCTCGCGGTTCCCCTGGAAACTATCATGGCTAATTCCTGACGAATTCATCATGATGGACTAACTGGCCTGTTTTCATTCTCATCTATCACCCTTCACTGGTGCTCCGCCAGTGTATCCCGTTAGCGCAGGCGGAGTTACCATATCATAATCATCCATAAAAAAACCCTTAGTATTGTTAGAATCGCAGCTGAATACCTATCTTGTTAGGAGTAGATATACATGGAAGGGTAGACCAGCGTGAAGGCAGTAGTAGCACTTGTTCCGAACACAACAGATTCAGTTCTAGTCGGAGTAACTTGACAATTCATTTATAAGAAACACAAAACGCGCTAAATACACGAACCGCTATATCGTACTACGTTTTTTTTTTTAATAGTACATTACTGCAGCGGCCAGCAACTGAGGCATTAATGGACGGACGTACAAATGTGGGCCGAGGTGTAGCCGAGGCACACATACGTGAGTCCATCAATGCCTAGTTGTGGCCAAGGCTTGTATAGTACTTTTCTCAAACAATGCGCGGAAATCCAAAACACATTTTTACTTTTTAAATTCAATGTCGAATAACGAACAATAATATTTTTTCACGCGCCATGTTCCTTTGTTTTTTTTTTCAATAAACAGCTTTCTATTTGCAAGCCAGCCAAGAAATTTAAATAAAACTTTGTATTAGTTACCTCCTTGGTAGCCATGTTTCGAAGTAAAAGGTCATTCCATTTTTAAATTACAGGACAGATATGAGTTTACATAGTAATTTATCTGGCCGCAAAACACGACAGATATGGATTTTCATACAACTTTTGCCGGCCGCTGCCCGTACGGCAGTATCTTGGCCAGTACGGCAATTTTGATTTATCTCGAAGAAGATTGTCAAAATAATGCTCACATTTCCAAGCATGTTTGAGAAATATTATTTTAAGGGCTTTTACCTCCTTCAGGTATATCAGTCCTATCGTACCCTCAACTGTTTTCTCAAACAAAACTTTATCTGCTTTCCGCGGAACGCGGAAAGAGAAGCAGTACTACGTTGTATTAAAACGTTATTTTAATTTGTAAAGACAGTTCCTCAGACAAGAGTCAATTCATAAAGACACATGACAAATGTTAAGGTTACTAGGCAATAATATTTTTCATTATCTATTTTCAAATTTCACTAAAGAGTCTATTAATACCTTTTTTTATACAACTTAGAATGGCAAACAAGCTGACGGCCTACCTGATTGAAAGTGGTAACCGTCGCCTATAGACATGAGCAGTACCGTGGACATAACAGAGTATACTGTTTTGCCCATGATACCCTCATGCATTCCTCTGTACCCTGTAAATTCACTGCCATATACCACCGTTTAAACCGAAACACTATGCAAACACAACTGCTATGCGGTTGAAACATGAATGGGACAGAGATTCTCAAGCAAATTACTTGTACAAAGTCTCCCTCTGGTAGAAAACATTTTTCATACAATTTTGCGTGATAAATAGTTGAGTGATTCCTTTATAACTTCTATATTTATTTTGTCTTATAATTTCTGCATCTTTTTAATGCGTAAACAATCATTTTATTTATTAAACAATACGTCAAGATACATTGTATGCGTAAGTATATAGAACACTGATAAAAAAAAACCAGTCGGCCAATTTGACAATTGACAAAAAATTGACCCGTTTTTGGGGCTCGATGCTCTATCTATATAACCTAAGAATACCCATTACCTTTTTTTATACCACTGAGGTGGCAAACAAGCATACGGCCCACCTGCTGGTAAATGGTTACAGTAGCCTGCCTGCAACAATGCCTGCAATACCAATATTATGCGCGCTGTGCCGACCCTGAAGAAACCTCTTTACCGCCCTTTTGAAGAATCCCATGCTGTAGTCTCTTGGGAAAACCTCGGCAGGGAGCTCATTCCACAACCTGAGTGTTCGTGGGAGAAAACATCTCTGAGACCGCGTTGTACGCGACCATCTAGGCTATAAGGTATGAGGGTGAACTCCCTGTCGATGGCGAGCCGTACGTATATTCACTAATAATGATAAAATTTACTCACCCATCACAAAACAAGGTATCAGTGAAGGAGTCCTTGCTTGTTTGTGAACATTCGGTACTTCCAAAGGTCACCTCGCCGCCATAATCATTTCACCTGCAAAGAAAAGCATAGTTTAGAATCTTTATTCAAATCTAAAAACAGAGAGTTACATAGAAGGAATGATAAAATAAAACTGTAAATCATATGGTTGCCTCCTTTCTTCTTATGCAAATATAATTAGTGAAAAAAGGACGAAAGATACACCATCGGTTGCTATTTTTGTCGATTCATAACAGGCTAGTGTATAGAAAATGTTATATAGCCGTATAACCCTACCAAATTCAGATACAACCTGCTTGCATACTTTCTACATAAACAGTGTCGAATATATAATCTAGTAATGTAAAATTTATTATTGACAATTATTTTATAATTAACATATCAATATGAATAAAAATTTTACATACACATAGATTACCCGCCAATTAATTATTTTCTCTCTAACTGCTAAGTTGGCTGGAAGAGATATATATTTACATATATACGCAGAAGTATAAAACAATGTCACAAATATAAACGCCCTCATCCTCATTGCAGGATTCCAAAACAAATCAATTAAGACGTACAGTTTAGTTGCATCAATGAAGACAAATTTTTGTGTCCAACAACTATTTGCGACGTTGCCAATTAATTCTTTATGAACGCTCTTAAAGTCTTCTCAATTCTAAATTCAAATAATTTGGAACACTGAATCGTGATTTTCATTTTTTGAATTTAGAACACGGATTGTTTTTTCTTTACTTAGTACACTCAATATGGAAAGGGATTATTTTATGCCCACTCTCCCCCCCCCCTTTATTCATGTACCTTTCCCCCACACAAAACATCATTATCTGGTCAATAACCGCATAGGTCACTGAGGGCATCTGCGACAAATGGAACTTGGGTGCATAGATTAATGTATACATTACCTTACAGAGTTGTATACTGTTACTAAATAGCAAAAAAAAAAAAATTTAAAATAATGCAGAAGCCACTGTTTTTTGTCTTTGGTGCAAAATAAATTTCATTGCAAACTGTCTCGTTTTCTATACATTTTTTTTTAATAGTTTTGTTTCTTAGATTATATAGATAAAGCGTCTTCATAGAAATGCTACGAAAAAACGGTTCAACTTTTTCATACAATTTTGCGTGATAAATAGTTACGAGTGATTCCTTTATAACTTCTATATTTATTTTGTCTTATAATTTCTGCATCTTTTTAAGTGAAGGTACATTATATGCGTAAGTATGTAGAACACTGATAAAAAAACGAGTCAGCTAATTTGACAATTAGCTGACAAAAAGTTGACCCGTTTTTGAGGCTCGATGCTCTATCTATATAATCTAAGTTTTGTTTATACCATAATTTTTTTTTTAAATATGTGTGCTTGTGTGTAGTCCTCAGGAATGGCAACGCATGGGGGGTATAATGGACGAAACAGTATACTCTGTTATGTCCATGTTACTGCTCATGTCTATAGGCGACGGTTACCACTTTACATCAGGTGGGCCGTCAGCCTGTTTGCCATTCTAAGTTGTATAAAAAAAACTCATTCATTCATTCATTTAATTATTTATTTATTTTCACTTATAGTTGGATTAACAATATTTAAAACTATTCCAAACTACAAATCAGTAGCCATAGACAGCGCTAGTAGTAGCTGAGAAATGGGGGAAAGGGATTGTTAGTAATGGGGTCAAATAGCCCCATTACTAGCAATATATCCTGTCAGGTCGACCTCCACGTGGTTCCCCTTGGAAAGCATCGTGAACAATTCTTGTTGAATTCGTCACGATAGGCTAACTGGCCTACTTCATCCTCACCTATCATCCTTCACTGGTGCCCCACCGGTGTATACCGATAGCGCGGGTGGGATTACCATTCCATTATCACCCATTAAAAAAAAAAGTAGCTAAGAAAGAGTAGTTACGGACTGACGTAATCACGTCATACGATTTGTATCTGCTATTTTTAGTTTCATCAGAACCCTCCTCTTTGCGAAGTCGGTTAATTACTAGATACGTACAAAGTCAATGTCGTGGCCGCCGCCGTTTTTCTTGTTATCTGATGACATTGAAAATTTAGTTTAAACTTTGGACCTTGGAAGTTCGTAGTAGTGTAGCAAATATTTCAGAGCAATATACGTTTTTAGCGTTCCTTTTTTTGCTCAACCCTTTCCTCTACACCGTAGATGGTGGAAACCACCAATAAATGCATTCCCAAAGAGGGTTGACGTCAGGCAGGTGGCCAGTCGTAAAACTATAAGCCAAATCTTTTTGTAATATGGATTTTTTTTATACAACTTAGAATGGCAAACAAGCTGACGGCCCACCCGATAGAAAGTGGTAACCGTCGCCTATAGACATGTTAAAAGAAAAGCGGTTAAAAGAATTATGAAAATTGGTTCAGAGTTGTCGACCTAACCGCGTAACCGTGATCTTAGTACCAGAGGGAGAGTTTGTACAAAAATAGTTTGCTTGGCCACCTCTGTCCCGTTCGTGTTTCTACCGTGATGCAGTTGTTTGCATGGCTGTGTTTCGGTTAGAAGGGTGGGATATGGCAGTGTATTTACAGGGTACAGAGGAATAACACCTGTGTCCTCAGGAATAGCAACGTATGGGGGATATCATGGGCGAAACAGTATACTCTGTTGTGTCCATGGTACTGCTCATGTCTACAGGCGACGATTACCACTTTCCATCAAGTGGGCCGTCAGCTTGTAAGCCATTCTAAGTTGCATAACAAAAAGATGGTCTTTAAAAAATCAGACATTTAACATTTGAAAGTCAGTTAAATATGTACTTTGAACTCTTTTCTCATATTTGTCTTTTTTATCACGCGCGAGATAAAAAAAAACTGTAAACCAAATAGGTATGACAACAGCGGCAAATTATACAGCCAAAACATATGACGCAGTACAAAGTACTAAAACTTACTCCGAGTACAATAATAAAAAAAAACATTAAAAAAATACAATGGAGTTGAGATTCTCCTTTTTGGAAGTCAATTGAAATCATCACTACGACCTCCGTGACATTTATTATTGTATGTATATCAACTGTTAACTTTCCACTGTTGGACATAAAGCCTCCACCCATGGGGGATTTTTTTAATGGATGATAATGTAATGGTAACCTCGCCTGCACGTATACGTGTATGGGGCTCCAGTGAGGGATGATAGGTGAAAATGAAAAGGCAGGTCAGTTAGCCCATCCTGGGGGATGAACTAATATACCGGCGCATCCCCCGAGTGGTAGGGTGAGCACGCCATCCACCCTATATTGAGAGAGGAGACCTGCTCTTACCATCTGGGGGCGGGTCGCTACCGTCGGAGATGTGGTGAGTGCGAAAGCGAACCCATGTCTCCGACACATGACACTTCGAGGGTATATCGTCTGGTTTTTGGTGGGTACACCCCCACCTTACGGGGGGATTCCCACAGTACCCATTCACCTCCCACAAGGTGTATGGGTCTGCATAAAGCATTTTCCAGACGTTAAATAAAAAAAAAGCCAATTAGCCCATCGTGATGAATACACCTGGAATTCAGCACGATGGTTTCCAGGAGAACAACGGGAAGGTCGACCTAATAATGTCTATGTTACCACGCTGATGCCCATCCCTCGACCATTAGTCTCTTAGTCGCTTCTTACGGCACATACGAGGTCTGTCCGGAAAGTTCGTATAAAAGTGTTCTGGAATGCGAGAAAGAGGAGTGGGGAGGCCAGGTAAGCGCAGGACCCCTTCCTTATGTCCCTAACAATGCTTCAGTTCTGGTCTGACCGCCGTGCGGTGCGAACTGGCTTGTCACGCCATCTGTGAAGTTACCTCTTAACGAAACCCCGTCGGCATGGAGCCCGCTTCCGTTGAAGAGCAGCGCGTCGTAATCAAGTTTCTCTCGAAACTCGGCAAGAATGGCCGTGAAAGCAAAGAGTGGAAGACATCCGGGGAACCACAAACAAAAAAATCAAGAAAATCCCGCTCAAATGTCAAGACAATGTTGATTGTTTTTTTCGATGTTCGGGGGATTGTCCATCAAGAATTCGTCCCTCCAGGCCAGACAGTTGATGGAAAATTCTACGTCGATGTGCTCAGACGCCTCAAAGCTCGTGTGGCACAAGTTCGTCCAGAATTGGCGCGAGAGGGGCGTTGGATTCTTCACCACGACAATGCCCCTGCCCACACCTCTCTTGTTGTCCGTGAGTTTTTGAGTAAAAATTCCATTACGGTGACCGAACACCCCCCCTATTCGCCGGATTTGGCCCCGTGTGACTTCTTCTTGTTCCCAAAAACCAAATTGGTATTTCGGGGGCGGCATTTGGGGGACATAAATGAGATAAAAAAAGCTACGACGGGGCAGCTGAGAAACCTACAACCAGAGGACTTTCAAGGAGCCTTCTCACAGTGGAAACGGCGTTGGCACAAGTGCATTATGTCACAGGGGGAGTACTTTGAAGGGGATAAAATTGATTTACCTGAATAATTGTAAAATAAAATTTTTAAAAAACTTTTATACGTACTTTCCGGACAAACCTCGTACAACAAAGGCGCGCACAATTTTGCCTAAATGAGTCCCTAATTCGATTCCAAGTCAGGCCTATTTTTTTTTAAGTTACCCAGGTATGGGTGTACTGGGTTACGTCCGCAGACGTTCGTCGCCCGATTCCTCATAACACAGGAGTATCCTTGTTTGAAGACCAGGCGATTGTTATCAATGTATGGCATTTACATCTTAATACTTGTACGTCAAAAAGACAATACTTCCGGTTAACAAAAAAAAGAATTTAAATTACCATAGACATTTATAGAAATGGTAATTAGGTATAGAGGAACTACCATAGACTGGAATTGTCATAAATATAGACGAGGTATTGTTAGTTGTATGAAAATTGTATGTACCATCTCGTCTAGAGATTGTATATCGGAATAATATGGCGCCATCCCTAAGTTTTTCTTTATTCTTTTGACTTCGATCCCTAACTTGGCACTCTTAGTTCGTTGTTTTTTTTTTTACTTTTTTTATGATACTTAACAAGCTAACAGCCCATATGATGGAAAATGCTAATAGACAGATAAATATGTAAATACTCTTTGTTTTCTCCAAAACATTACAATAGTAATTTTTTTTTTTACAACACAGGGGGCAGACGAGCATGCGGCTCACCTGATGGTAAGTGACTACCGCCGCCCATGGTCACCCACAACACCAACGGCATTGCAGGTAAGCTGCCGGCGTTTTATTATATTTTAAATACAAACAATTACAAGAATTGATCACAGTGAGAAAACATTAGGCGGATTTATCGCTAGAGCGATCTCTTCTGCGTTTTTTCATTTAAAACAACTGAATAAACACAATTTGCGTTACAATATTGTACTTGTCAACTTAATCTCTAATAACAAAAAAAAAATACAAACAAATAGAATACCTTCTATTTTCGAAGCAGTTTAAAAATTCATAGATTAAGATAACCTTGTATTCTCTTGTTACATTCTAAAATTAACTACAGATCATAGATTAAGGATAATACAAGGCTTTCTCTGTCTATGCCACAGATTATAAAGCTTAGTTTTTTCGATCTAAATAAAAAAAATAATTTAAAATAAGAACATGTTGCTTTTATACTCGAAATTTGAAAATTTGGCGCTAAAATAACTACTTGATGCTTAGTGCAATATTACATAGTTATAAAGATATTATATTATCAGTAGGATTAGGCATGTAATTAATAGGCACAATCTAACACTCATATACCAATGAAACGTGTTAGCTTGTATTTTAGTTAACTTTATATATGTTACTATAAATAAAAGATTGCACATTACAAGACAAGATTGGTAAATTTAAGGATTAACCAGAATGAGTTGATAAATATACCGATAGCGCAGGCAGGGTTGCCATTCTATTATCAAAAAAAAAACCTTAATTTTAAGTGGTAACCATCAGCTTAATTTAAAGCTGATGGTTACCACTTTCCATCAAATGGGTCTTCAGCTTTTTGATTTTAAAAAAGAGTCGGTACTTGTTTGCTTACGTGTTTTTGGGAAGAATGTCAAAATTGACTGATAGAACACACCTTCAAAAGGTTGTTAATGAATTAAAAATCTTTAGGATTTCGTACTAAATCGGATAATTTCGTACTAAAGGAATCCTTATTGTGCAACTTTATCTATCTGTCCATCTGTTACAGTGTTATATCTTAGCATCTATTAATACTATCAGTTTGAAATCAATACATATAACAAATCGTAACTGGTCGCTGTCTGTACATGGAAGATATATGAGAAAAACTACTGTAAGGGGCTTCATGAATGCAATAGAAGCCAAAACAATGATTTTTAGAATTTTTGTCTGTCTGTCTGTATGTTTGTACACGGTAATCTCAGCAACGGCTTAACCGATTTGAATGCGGTTTTAATAATTGTGTTGCAGTTTGCTTCACTTAACATTTAGTGTTTGTTTATTTCAATCAGTTTAGAAATAAAAAAGTTATATCAATCTAAAGAATCACATATAAAATGCTATAAAATAACCGATCAGTTGTATTGGCTGCAACTTTATGAAGGTATTAGGTACGTAATTATCATTTATGTATATAATACAATATAAGACCGGATTCATGAAGAGTTCCAATGGGAATGATATATGGGAACTACATAGAAGCGGGCAACGCCGCGTGAAATGGCTAATATACAACAGTTTAGAATATTGTTGACACACTTAAATATATATTATATGCACTAACCCTTTGTCTATTTTTAAAATGTCTTCTACCCAAATATTGTCTAGAAGGGATTGCTTAGTGATAAGCCACCTTTTGTATCATTTCACTTTAAAATTTACTGTACTCATTATTTTTATAAATGATGCAATAAAGTGTGAATAAATAAATATTATATTGCTAGAAGGCCAAAAGAATTTCCAAATAAGCCTAGATTAGCTAAATAAGACTAGTCTAATCAGGTTATTACAACATGCAAATGTTTAATTTGCAAATCCTAAAATAGATTTTTATTTATATATTTCTGACTTAAAGTTTTCGACTTGGAAAATATAAAAAAAGAAAATTTGTAAAGAGTAAAAACTAACAAAAGCTGTCAATAAATATTCTTTTAAACATTATAAACTCGGGGGGAAAGGGATTGTTAGTAATGGAGACTGAGAATCCCATTGCTAGCAATATACCCAACCAGGTCGACCTCCTTGCGGTTCTCCCTGGAAACTATGGTTAATTCCTGATGAATTCATCATGATGGGCTAACTGGCCTGTTTTTATTCTCATCTATCACCCTTCACTGGTGCTCTGCCAGTGTATCCTGTTAGCGCAGGTGGGGTTACCATACCCTTTTCACCATCAAAAAAAATTATAAACTCTTCAAAAACAAATTTATCTATGTTGTCTGATTTTTACCATCATTGTCATCATATCCACAGTTAACTGTCAACTGCTGAACATGGGTGTTCCGCTATTGATGGGTTTTGCCAGGATTTTTAACTATATTACTAGATAATCATAAATGTTTCATTTATTTACTTTGTAATACATAGGTAGGTAATAAAAAATCTATATATACTCTATTTGCATTGCTGTCTCTAGTGCCTTTGCCACATGAATCAGTGTACAAAATATCCTATGTGTCATGTTAGAATATAACCTATATATGTATCAAATTTCATTCAAACCTATTCAGCCCTTTAAGTATGATTGGGTAACAAATATTTAACAATTATCACAAACTTTTACATTAAAAAAAAAAAGGATAGATGAAAAACAATAAAAAAAAATATATAGACAGCTAAAAAGAAATTGCTTTAAGATTTCCATTAAACAATTAATTTGATATATATTTAATTACAATAAAATTATATAAAAAAGCTTGCTGTTGCATCTATACAATATCTAAATATAGGTCTTTCAAATTTGTGGCGGATATACCCAAAATTAAAGCACTCCTTGCTAAATACAGAAATATGTAATAACAGTATAGAGTATACATAAACACACTCAAGAATATTTAAACTTAAATAAATAAAGACAATCCAGTTGGTTACACCAAATGAATTTCTCATTTGTTTACAAGTCTGCATTTATAATCTGTTTTTCTATACTTTATCTTTACTTGTAAATAATGTTCTAAATTCAAACATTACAGAAAAATTTGTTGTGGTAAATAAGTGTAATGAATTTTTACTTTAAAATATATTTTCTTTCTTAAGATGCAATTATAATAAAACAATTACTGAGACCCACTTAGAAGATATGCTTGCTTTATTGGCTGTTTTATTTTTAAATGACCAAAGAGCAATTTTGAAAAAAGAATCACAAAATTTATTTAACTTTATGTCGCCATTAAATCATCATGTCTACACGCTAATTTGAAGCCGCTCAAGAAGTTAATTACTACCGTGCCGACATGGCTTTACAGACATACGAGATCGCTAGAGAGCATTTATAATAAACCGGTTTGCAAGTAGAATCCCAGAATGTAGGCTAATTTAAATCAACAAAACAATAGTACCTATAGTCATAGCGGTATAAAAGTTTTCCTAACTACGCAATTATCTTGTGTACAGTTATAATACTTATTAACATTGTTGTTATATGATTAATATATGTTACTTGACATTATAAAACTCAGCTAATATGCCGCGACAGTGCAAATGGCAGTGGAACGAAACGTTGAAACTTGTAATTCAAAAGAATAAAATGGTACAAATTAATACTTACAAGAAAAACAATCTGTAACTTTCTTGGATGAGTTAAAACTGATTATTGGGATAAAAATACAGGCAAAAGTTTACAATTATCACGTTTCAAGCAAGTTACGGAAGCAACGGAAATGTCAACTTAACTGATTGACTAAAGTGCACTGAAGTGACAGAATTGAACTTGACATGACAGATCAATTGATAGTCAGTATTTGACAGTTGCATATCCGGACACAGATAAAAGTGATATTATATAATATACATCAGCATATTACAATTTCCTTTGCTAAACACGAATTCAATGAAAAATCACGAAGAAAAATAAACAAATTGCTAGTATATATCATACCACCATCGTGATTGTATGCCAACTTTGCTAATATTATATTCAATTCTTGGTATTTACAGAGAAGAACTGTGTTACATTCATTGCAATTTTGGTAAAAATATTGTATAAAAGCAAAATGCGACCACTACATTAAACTTTATCTCTGTTAAAATCTATTTACATTATATAGATAAGTAGGTAGATTTTTAATAGAGACTAAAAGAATCTATTATTATTTTACTCAAGTAGTCCACTAATCTGTTAATATATTTTTGCATTTTTTAATGTAAACAAACAATCACTAAAAAAATTATTTAATGTTGTCAAAAGGACGATGTTATTTTTTTTTTTTATATACTCACAAGATTTTTTTAAAGTGTAAACATTTATTTAACGTCAAAAAACAAAACCTGCACGCCAGAAAAAGGCGGGAAACTCGAATAAGAACAAGCGGGTTTTTTAAATTTTTTTTATTAATTTATTAAAACTATCTCTATCAATTCTTATTATTGAATAAAATATTATATTTTCACTAAATTCAGCGACAGTAATATAATTAGCATTCATGGGGAAGCGCAGTTGTAGAAAAAGGAAAAAAAAAGATGACGATTCAGGTGATGTAGACCATGAACCTTGTAATGACAAGGATATATATTCGGAAGATACTTCTACTGACTCAGAATCTGAAATTGATAAGGCCGATAAGTATAAACCTTACTACGTCACAGATTATATTAGAAGATATCCCGAGGAACCCCCTGGGACAGAATTTGTTGTCTTTGTAGAATCCTCAGATAGTCAGAAAACCATTGGATCCAGAGACTTGCTCTCACTCTCCTCCTGTTTAAAACGATTTAATAAAGGGGTAACTTATCTTAGATCTATAAATAAATTCAAAATCGGAGTATACTTTCAAAAGCCAGACTTAGCCAATGCTTTTTTAAATAATAAAACTTTTTTAAATGACTACCATTTTAAGGCCAGTATTCCTGCTTCTTCAACAGAAGTTACAGGCGTTATTAGAAATGTACCTACAAATATATCTAATAAAAAAATATATACTATGATATAGAGTTCTAAGAAAATTATTGCTATTAAAAGAATTTTAAGAAAAAATACCTTGACTCATGGATATGTGTTACAGCCAACTCTAACCGTGACAATTACTTTTGCTGCATCTGTATTACCTGAATATCTGGATATTGGAGGTTGGCGCCACAATGTCACTCCATATATACCACCAGTTAAACAATGCTACCGGTGCTTGAGGTATGGACATTTAGCTAAATTCTGTAAGAATTCTGAGCGTTGCAGCATCTGCAAAGGTGAGCATAATTATAAAACTTGTACAACTGGAATGGAAAACGCTATTTGTGTACACTGCAATGGAAATCACACAAGTGTATCACCGCAATGCCCTGTTTAACAAAAGAAAATTGCTGAAAATAGATCTAAATTCAGACCTGCTTCTTTTGGAGATATACTTAGCACTGAAATATTTCCTAAACTGGGTAACAAACCTAAAAAAAATGTAGACCTAATTTCAATTCTAAATTCTGATAACAAGAGTTTATCACTTTTAATAGAAAGCATAATCAAACTTATTTCACTACATAACACAAAGAACACATCTATTAACACTAAAAGTGTTTTGAATGTGTTATATGATACTTTTGGTAATAGACCTATTTCACAAAATTCAATCGAGACCAATTAACTATCATACAGTGGAACGCTCAGAGCCTACTGAGCAATCGACATATTTTTACACAATTTTTAAATGAACATCATATTCACGTTGCTCTCATCTCAGAAACTTGGCTAAAACCACATTACAAATTAAAAATTAAAGATTATTGTATAGAACGAAATGATTGTGGTAATAACCACAATGGAGTAGCGATTATTATACATAATAGTATTAGATATAAAAAACTTCACTCTTTTTTAGACAATTCTTTGCAAACTATAGCTATTAGTATTGAAGTTAATAATTCTTGGTATTCAGTTGCCAGTATTTACTGTCCTACCAATAGTACACCTAGTTTTACTAAAGCCAAATTTAAGTTCTTTTTGGAGTCTCTTCCTAAACCCACTATCATATCTGGAGATTTAAATGCACATCATACTATGTGGGGTTGTACCTCCACTAATACAAGAGGTAAAGACATTCTTGATTGTTTAGATGAATGTAATTTGGTACTATTAAATGATAAGCAAGTTACTACTGTTGGCTCTCATATTTGGAGACCCAATGGCCTTGATTTAACTATGGTATCCCCATCCATATCATTAAAATGCGAGTGGTCGGTTCATGATGATCCGTTAGGAAGTTATCACCTGCCGACTTTTACTAAAATAAACACAAAGAACTCTTCATCAACTCCGTCAGGTGAACAACATGCTTCTATAGATGAAGTTAATAAACTTTTGTTAAATCGTATAAACCTACGTCTCGTTAATTGGGATCTTTATTCTGAAACTGTTAATCGATTACTTTTGGATTTCGAGTATGATGTCAATGAACCCTTAAACAATTACAATAGGTTCTGTAAAATTATTTTGACAGCTGTGGAACGTTCCGTTCCACGTAGGAACTTATCAAATAGCGGTGCAAATACTTCAAAGAGGCACAAACATATTGCAGTACCTTGGTGGAATAACAGGTGTGCGACAGCTGTCAATGATAGTAAAGCGGCTTACCTTAGGTTTAAACAAAATCCAACTCTCGATAATTACATAAATTTTAAAAGAGTTCAAGCTGTTAAAAAGTTAGTAATTAAGCAAGTAAGACAACAGGGGTGGCAGGAATTTTGTTCCAAATTTAATAGATTAACACCAATTTCCACTGTTTGGCAAAATATGAGAAAACTAAATTCAAAACATCGTCAAAATCATTTTAAAGATATATCATGGGTCAATGATTTTTTACGCAAATATACTCCTGATTTTGTACACTCATCTTTTGATGACAAACAGTTTAATTCTGTTAATTCATGCCCAAAATTTCTCACTGACCCATTCTCAATTGATGAAATATCCAGTGCAGTAAAATCTAGAAAAGATACAGCTAGTGGCCTTGATCGCTTAACATACAATATGTTTCGATTGCTGAATAAAATAAACCTTACTAAACTCTTACAAATTTTTAACGATTTATGGAAGGACTGTATTATCCCACCAGAATGGAAAATGGATTGTTTGATTCCAGTAATTAAACCCGGTAAAGATCCTACAAATTTCGACTCCTATAGACCTATAACATTGACGTCCTGTGCAGGCAAATTATTCGAACAATTAATTAAACAGCGTTTAGAGTTCTTTATTGAAAGTAATAGTATATTACCATCGAATCAATTTGGTTTTCGCCGTGGAGATTCAGCGCGCGAAAGTTTAGCGAACTTCTATGTCGACCTTAGTACTGCTTTGAATAACGATGAATATGTTCTATCTGTTTTTTTAGATGTCGTAGGAGCTTTTAACAATGTAAATTTAACAGTTCTATCTTCGATTTTATCCTCATTTCTTCCAATGAAACTTATCGAATGGATTTATAATTTTCTTAGTAATAGAGAAGTGTATGTTAAAGTAAATAGTAAATTAATAGGACCTAGGTTAAGCTCTAAAGGAGTATGTCAAGGTGGTATTCTAAGCCCGCTACTATATATTTTATATATCTATAAACTTAATTCAATTTTAGGAAACAGTGTGAACAACTTGCAATTTGCCGATGATTTATTAATTTATATAAAAGGAAAGAATATTATTGATATGCAATTAGTGTTAAATGAGTCATTAAAAAGACTTGAGAAATATTTTTCTCTTCTTTCCCTCGATATTAGTTTAACCAAAAGTAAAGTAGTTGTTTTTCATCAAGTTCATAAATATGTTCCATTAATGAATATTATATATAATAATCAAACTCTTCCAACAGACTGTAGCGTTAAATTTCTGGGGGTAATTTTTCATCAAAATTTAAAATGGGATCTATACGTTGATTGCTTAGTAGATCGTGCTTTAAGAGCCACTAATATAATAAGATCTGTAATTGGTCGTAACTGGGGAGCTGATCCTAAAATTATCCTTTTACTTTACAAATCTCTTGTTAGAAGTAATTTTGATTACGCTTTCTTTTGTTATGCCTCAGAACATAAATTAGTAGAAAAACTCGAAAAAATTCAAAATATGAATTTAAGACTTATTTTAGGTGCTATGTATACTTCTCCAATTATCTCAATGCAAGTAGAATGTAATTTGCCTCCTATCCTTCTTCGTTTCGAATACCTAAAACTCAAATTTCTCTTCAAAGTTTTTTCAGTTTCCAATAACCCACTCATACTCAAATTATTAAATTGCCCCATTTCTATGTTTTTGAATAAAACTATTGTCAATGATTTGAATTTACGAGATGAATATAACATCTATAGTAGTAAGATACTTCCTTGTTATAATGGCCTTTATGAGAGTAAGTTCTGTAAGATCAAAATTGTTATACGTAAAGACATAAAAGAAAAGCACGATATGTATGAGACTTTATCAGAATTTATTGACTACAGGCAGATATATACAGATGGTTCCAAAAATGCACTTAGCACTTCAGTGGCTTTTTACGATTTGTCAAATAGATTTGGTCACGGTTATAAAATTTCAACTTTGGCTAGTATTTACACAGCAGAAACAAAAGCTATATTTTTAGCATTAGAATACATAGAAAAACAGGTACTATATTCGAAATGGATTATAATTACAGATAGTATGAGTGTTCTTATGGCATTAAAAAATAACACATTCATTTCATCATCAAACTACTTAATTCAAGAAATTCGTAATAAATATTATCATCTCTGTACTATATATGGAAAAGATATTATCTTCATCTGGACCCCTTCACATATTGGAGTGTTTGGGAATGAACAAGTAGACACTTTGGCTAAAATTATTAATTCAAGTGCTGCTCGTGTTCAAGATTTACCCCTTTGTTACTCAGATTGTAGTATTGGAATACATAAAATCGTTACAACTAAATGGGAGGAGCATTGGACTCAAATATTACAGACTAAAGGCAAATGGTATCGCAAAATTAATTGGCGTATTGGAAAACCGTGGTTCTGCAAAGGAAAGGACACAAACAGAAAATTTTACACCAATATTTGTAGATTACGAATCGGCCACGGACATTTCAACGAACACCTGCACCGAATGGGCATGATCGCTTCCCCATCATGCACATGGTGTAACTCAAATACAGCCCAATCTCTACATCACCTTTTTTTGATTGCTCTGAATTTGTCATTCAAAGACACATTATGTTTGACGAACTTAGGATTATCTTCAAAAAACCCGAAAATATCCCGCACTCAATCCCGCTTCTCTTAAGATTTCCTTCTTGTTTCAAAGCTATTTTCACTTATATTACTACAACATTCAAGGAGCTATAAGAATACTTTTATTGAATTGCAAGACAATGATTTTTTATAATTATTTATTTTTAATTTGATAAATCCACTGGTTTAAGAAAACTCAAGAAAAGATATTTATGAAAATGTACTTACCGGATTTGACAAATGAAATATTGAAGATTATGACAATAATTGAAGCGACATTAGAAAAATAAAATTCCAGACAAATTATCTTTTTGAAGACTAGGCAGCATGGTCTCCGACCTTAGCCTGTTCCAAACGGAACAAACGTACTAAAAAAAAAAAAAAACCTGCACGCCATTGTATTCGCGCAAGTCATTTTTTCTCACGTTGAAAATATAATTTTAAACACCAAAACAATTCGTTCAACCGCCAAAATAGCTTTCTGTGATCAAAATGAGTGTACCCGGGGGCGGTATACCGGAAGATAAATTGCCACAGTGCTGGTCTGATGATGTCCGTATGAACGCTTTATTCGCTCCTTTCCGAATTAAAACAGCTAATCCAGAGTCTTGGGACATGAAAATGAAATTTTGGTCTGATATGTTAAGGCAGTGGTGTCGTTGTAAAAAAGATCCAATACTGTCTGCAGCGGACGCGAAGTTCGCGTTTCAAAGAAAAGGGCGCACTTGCGCTTGTATGGATCTAGTAGTGGAAGAGATCTACCGGTGAGTTCGATTGTTGTTTTTAGAAAAATGGACCAAAATTGTTTACAGTTTATTGTACCTGAAAATCATATTAAAAAAAATGTATGGAATAGTTTCAATTTAAAAATCGAAGCCCTAATTTTGAAAATTGATTGTGAATGTTTTCTTTATGCAACTTGTAATAGAAAACCAGCTGATGGCCAGCTTGATGAGGTCACCATCACATATGAACATGAACATATGTGAACATGAAATAGAACTCAATGCTAATTATAGTTACAATACTAATAAATTATTTTTTATATAAGTAAATTCTACAGAGATTTTTTTATGGCTCATAATGAAATGGTAACACCTTCTGCACTATCAGTATATGCTAGCAGAGTATCAATGAAGAATGATAGGTGAGATTGAAAAGGCAGGTCAGTTAGCCTATTGTGAATTCTACTGGATTACAGCAAGATGGTTTCTATGGTGGTCAACCTGACAGAGTATATTAATAGCAATGAGATTGGTAGTCTATATACTAACCTGATGACTTTCTTGTGGGTTCTTCATAGCAAATAAAAACATTCTAAACCCTACAGCAGAATCATAAAAAGATGACATCACAGTGATGCTTGTGGTACTGGTCATGCACATTGGTATTTCTAAATTTGTTTTCATTTATGAGTCTGGCCAATTTTTTGCTAGAAACATCTATTATTACATACATATCTATTTCAGAAATGGTGATCTGTCCCCCATATCCAAATATCCACAAATCCTGCACAATGGACCAGAAGGCTGGGTGCGGTGGGGCGCCCGGCTGGCATTCAAGCCGGCTGCAATAGCAATCACAGCAGTGACCTCACTGCTTCCAGCTCGACAGGCATTAGACAGTGATGGACTACCTAAAGCTAGTATTGATTCCACACAACGATTTGTTCTCGAAAGTGCCGTGAAGGTATGTTATAATTTTTTTTATGCAATATTGAAGAACAAAAACCTCTCTAACATAGTTTTTTAACTTTATTTTGCCCACTGTCCACTTTACTGTTATGGTTTTTTTTGTAGACTTTTCTTTGGACTATATTTTTTAACCTGCCCATGCCCTCTCTGCACTATCTCAGTAATTGATGATCACTCATCATCACTCTTAATTTTCTCTGGCTTTTCTACTGACTCCTTAAAAGTCTCAAATGTCCACAATGATGCTTTATTTATTGATTTTGTCAATGAAATATAGATGATTTTTGGAATTAATAAGTGATGGGTATATTGGGTCAAAGGACCAAGGAACAGGTGTAGTTAGAAAGAAAAATCAGAAAAACCTTAAAGTACTAATGGTAAGTTTAATGGTTCTATGGTATGGTATCGTAGGACTGTCCAAACTAGATAGGATCTAGGGCTAACAAAAATGACTAAATTCATTGGGGGGCTGCAAAATATTATTATTTTGTTATTGTTTTGTTATTTTTTCTTTATCTTTTTTTTATACAACTTAGAGTGGCTAACAAGCTGACGGTCCACCTGATGGAAAGTGGTAACCGTCGCCTATAGACATGAGCAGTACCATGGACAGAACAGAGTATACTGTTTTGCCCATGATATCCCCCATGCGTTGCCATTCCTGAAGACTCAGGTGTTATTCCTCTGTACCCCATAAATTCACGTCATATCCCACCCTTCAAACCGAAACACAGCCATGCAAACACAACTGCTTCACGGTTGAAACACAAATGGGACAGAGGTACCCAAGCAATCGACTTTTGTACAAAGTCTCCCTCTGGTATCTTTTACAATTCTGTCAACATCGACATCAATATTGGTAGTAGCTAGAAATGACTTGGTGGACTGTATCAATTCAAACGGACCATAGTTTGGACAGCTCTGCCCTATGGCATTCTATATCAGCTAATGTAGCTTTGCTCGATATAGTTTTATTTACAATAATTGAAAGCACCCTTAATACTGTTTCCCACTTTCACTCTCCTTTCAATATCTCTCTCACACTTTCCATCGCTTAGAAACAATGAAACCAAATATAGAAACTCATAACTCTTTCGTCTCTTTAAAAAGGATAAGCACAAAAGATCATGGAAAGATTGCAGTGTCACAGTTTTTTCTACCTGAAAAAACAGTTCTTTCAATAAAAATAAATCATTATCTAATTTGCCTTTAAATTTTCATTCCTCTCAAAAACTATTCTGCCTCTTTTTTTCGTAATATCTATGTATTTGATATTTGGTTATTGCAAGTTTAACTTTATAACTGTTATAGCAAGAACAATACTGTATTAACAAATTTTGTTGATTCTTTTTGTGTTAAAACTAATTCTTTAATAATCCTGAGAACAGAAATAGTTGTAATATTAATAAAAATGTAAATAAATTATTCCAATTTTAAAAAAAAATATCTTATTTTCAACTGATTTCAAAAAGTAGTAGTTCAAATGTATTTTTTTTTTTTGTTTGTTACCTCATAACTCTGTCAGTTATAAACCAATTTGTAAAATCAAAATTTACTATCAACTGGGCTGTATGCTTGTTTACCTTAGGGCTATAATAAATAAAATTCTTTTCACAAAAGTGGCAAACAAGCATACAGCCCGTCTGATGGTAAATGGTCACTATAGCCTATGGACGCCTGCAACACTAGGGGTGTCACGTGCACGTTGCCGACCCTGAAGAAACCTTAATATATCCTATTTGAAGAACTCCATACTGTAGTCTCAAGATCAAACCTTGGCTTGGGAGCTCATTCGACAGCTTGAACATTTGTGGTAGAAAATTTCTCTGAAACCATACTGTACATGACCGTTTAGATTTAAGCTCAAGTGTGTGAGGATGGATTCCCTGTCGATGGCCAGCAGTGTGACGATAAAAGGTGGCTGAAAGGATGCACATACAGATAAATTTTAATAAAATCGATTTAGTTATTTAATTTTATATATCAAAATAGTTTTGTCACAATTGAAGTTGGTTTTATTTGTAATTAAAAAAAAATTCCAGGAGCAAGCCACAGAGTTCCTACAGAATTACCCTGCTGATGCCGAACACATTGGTACAATTGAGGAGCTCATGCGTAACTCCGGCTTCCAACAAAGCAGGGAGACCTTCGAGATACTTTTAGGGTACTTGGTCTCGCAGGGAACCGCTGTCAAGAAGGATGATGTCGTTAAAATAGGTAATTATTGTTTGAATAATAATAATAATCATCATACCAATGAATTAATAATAATAATAATAATAATAAAAAAGTAATTCAATTGAGTTTCTTGCCAGTTCTTCTCAGTTGGATCTATATACCGAACTGGACGGTAGGGAAAAAAATAAAATTATAATGTAAAAATTTGACGTTCATAAGCGGCTAAAATGTCCTACATGAATAAATGATTTTTGAATTTTGAATTTTGAATGATAATGGAATGGCAACCCCACCTGCGCTAACGGTATACGCTGGCGTGGCACCAGTGAGGGATGATAGGTGAGGATGAAAAGGCAGGTCAGTTAGCCCATCGGTATAAATACACCTTTTTATACCACTGAGGTGGCAAACAAGCATACGGCCCACCTGATGGTAAGTGGTTACCGTAGCCTATGAACACCTGCAATACCAGAGGTATTAAGTGTGCGCTGCCGACCCTGAAGAAACCTCTTTATCCCCCTTTTGAAGAACCCCATGCTGTAGTCTCTTGGGAAAACCTCGGCAGGGAGATCATTCCACAACCTGAGTGTTCGTGGGAGGAAACATCTCTGAAACCGCGCAGTACGCGACCATTGAGGCTGTAGGACATGAGGATGAACTCCCTGCCGATGGCGAGCTGTACAATGGTAGAAAGTGGCTGTGGGCATCATATTGAACAATTCCTCTGAGCACAATCCATTGTACAGGCGGTAGAACACGCAGAGTGAGGCAAAATCTCTCCTAAGATTTAAGGGTTCGATACCGCCTGTGAGCCTGGGATCATCGACAATTCTCCTATGACCTGGAATTCACTATGGGCCAACTGACCTGCTTTCGTCCTATACCGGTAGCGCACGCGGGATTACCATTCCATTATCACCCATTAAAAAAAATATATATACTGTTTTGTATTATTCTTTAAGTGGTGCAATAAAGAGTAAGTAAATAAATATTTTTTTTAAATGGCCATGCATTAATTTCCAGCGGAGCCCCACAAGAAGGCGCAGCCCGTGACGGAGACGGACGAGGCGCTGGTGAAGCTGACGAGCGCGGAGACTCGGCTGTCGGCCGACGCCACGAGGCTCGCCAGGGAGGTGGCCGCCGCCACCGCCCAAGCGGCGGCGTCTCTCCAGCTCGGAGACAGGCTCGCGGTATGCAACATCATCATTATTAACCTCCAACTGTCCACTGCCTAACGTAAACCTCCCCCTAGAGGAGGGTTTTGTCAGTAGTTGCCACATGGGGGGAAGGGATTGTTAGCAATGGAGTTTGACAGCCCCATTGCTAGCAATATGCCCTATCAGGTCAACCTCCACGTGGTTCCCCTTGGAAATCATCGTAAACAATGGGCTGACTGACCTGTTTCATCCTCATCTATCATCCGTCACTGGTGCCCCGCCGGTGTATACCGATAGCGCGGATAGGGTTATTATTTCATTATCACCTATAAAAAAAAAAGTAGTTGTCACATTTGGTAGGCGAATTGTCAACCGCAGTTGCAGTTGCAGGGTTTAGAGATGTTTTAAAAGGAATGTTACTGTTCATCCCTCTCCCTCCCTTAGATTTTCACTTTTACGACATCCACGGGAAAGGAAGGAATGCTACTATACCTATATCTATTCTATATCGGGATCGAGGCCGGGATTTTAGCAGGCGTTCATACGCTACGGTAACCGCTCACCATCAGGTGGGCCGTATGCTAATATGCCACCACAGTGGTATAAAAAATGGTCAATGGTATGCACCATGAATGAATGGAAGTCTCGTATTGTCAGGTTCATATTATACATTATCCATGCAAAATGATTTGATTTGATGGCGGACTCATTTGGTTTTTGATGGCTTGGCAAATGAAAGTGAAAATTACTGGATTCACTTCCTGATTTATTTTTTGTAAACACACTGACAAGAATTATGTTTGAACAGATAATGAAAATTGGCCGTACCTACTTTGAATCAACGACTATCAAAACGTTTATTACATCTAGATAGGAAAAACTTCAAAATAATGATAGGGACAATAACAGGCCATTGTCCATTAAACAAACATTTATACATAATAGGAGCCACAGACAGCTCTCTATGTCGAGGCTGTTTCGACGCCGAAGAAACGGCTGCTCGCGTAATCCTGGAATGCGAAACTGTGGCCCATCAATGTTTAGAAATCCTCGGAACGGTGAGGTTACTCCGAGAGTCCTGTGAAGATTGCAGGAAGCTTCTGTGCTTCCGGGCGGAGCTAGGTTGGCTGTACTAGCCACGACTCATACGCACAACTGCCCAAATGAGAGGCTAAGCGCGGAAAATAAAGTCCTATTTACATTCACATTATGTTTAAACAAAATCAAAATGCATTTATATCTTTGTAATTTACTGAATAACTGAAATATAATCGCTAAGATACATTCGCTTGATCGAACGCCGGACGGAAGAGAGAGAGTCATAGACAATCGTAGTTACTTTTTTTTCTAGATCATTGACTATAAGAAACTGGGATGTTGCCTGTTGGGAATAAAGAATCATAGATAACCCTAGTTACATTTTTTTACTAGGTCATAGACTAAACTGACATCGTGCCCATTAGAAATACATTATGATTAATTGAACGGAATATAAAAATGGAATTTAGACATGTTGAAGCATACAATATTGCTTAAACATCCATCTACTAGTAATATGGACGTTCTGCAAATATTGCTTGAAGTTATGTTAATTTTTTTTTTCTTTTACAGGCTAAAAGTCACCTCCGTCGCAAACACAATATCCAACAGCGCTTGACGCGCTGCGAGGGAGCGCTTGACAATGTGAGACAGCTGCTGCAGCAGCTTAAAGAAGTGGACGTCAATGCTGCCATTGTTGATACATACAGGTAACACTGGACTTTTTCAACCGACTTTAAAAACAAGAGAAGGTTCTTATCATCGTCATATCAGCTGTTCGTTATCCTCTGCTGAGCATAGCCCTCTCCCTTGGGGGGTTTTTAGTTGTTGCCAATAGTTGCTACGCATGGTAAGTGGGGAGGAAGTTCTCGAATTCGTTATTTTTTTTTAAGTTTTTTACCTCCTAACTCCATTATGTATATAAACAGATTTGGAAATTTCTTATTTTATCTTTTTTTTTTTATACAACTTAGAATAGCAAACAAGTTGACGGCTCACCAGATGGAAAGTGATAAACGTCGCCTGGACATAACAAAGTAAACATGGACATAACAAAGTATACTGTTCCATGATACCCCCCATACGTTGCCATTCCTGAGGACTCAGGTGTTATTCCTCTGTACCCTGTAAATTCACGCTATATTCCACCTTTCAAACCGAAACACAGCCATGCAAACACAACTGCTTCACGGTTGAAACACGAATAGGGACAGAGGTACCCAAGCAATCGACTTTTGTACAAAGTCTCCTTCTGGTGATCTGTCAAGGTATTTATCTTCTATCAAAATCAGTTTAGTAAAATTGTAAGAATTATTATTATTGTTAAGGATATTTGAGGCCTATAAAATCAAACACAGCTCAATCCAAGATCCAAATATCTGATTGGCGGGCGTAACTGTTAACTATATGTGATTGTTAGTGATTGGCACGTACCTGTATTTGATACCAATGTCAGTTTTTGAACTGAATTCGCTAGAGATTTTGCTGCATTAGTTCGTGAACTGAATCATCATCATCTATAGCCTTCTCTGGGCCCGCCAGATAGTGTGGGCGGGCGAGGTGGGGGCCTTGGAGTGTACCTCATTACCCCAGCTTCAACTCCTGATACTATCACTTCTGGGTCTCTTGGTTTTAAGCCGACATACACTAGGTGTTATGTGTATGTCGGCGTGGCGTTTTTCCTTCTTCTTCCTCTTCATATGTGGTAGCAATATATGTATAAAAGGCTGCTTTACTTTTTTCCCTTTTTGTTTATATGATTTTTTTTTCCTTTGTAAACTGCACCAAAGCGTGTTTAAGTAATTAAACTAGATGGCGCCACAGTTAACTCATTTTATACGATTTGATGGCGTTTATTTTTCTCTAGCTCATTTTTGTTCTATTCTAATGTATTAATTATGACATTATTTCAGAACAAGCTCTCAAGCAATGAAGCGCGGGATGAAAGATGGCGGTCTGGAGGAAGACGCTGTCCACGACACGTTAGACGATCTGAAGGAGGTATGGCTTAAACTACATCTTTTTTTAATCATTATCTTCCTACCCTTAACTCAATTATAAGGGGTATGACTCATTATGGGTGCCCTAACTAGACATATGCCAGTAAGGCATATACTATACAAGGTGGGTCTATCCTCGGACACACTGTGCAGACTGTGCGGTGAGAAATCGGAATCTATGGAACACTTGATGTGCAACTGCGATTCATTGGCAAGTATGCGTATGAGTCTACTGGGAACAGTTTTTTTTTATGGGTGAAAATGGAATGGTAACCCCGCCTGCACTAACAGTGGCAGTGCACCAATGAAGGGTGATCATGATGAATTCATCAGCAATTAACCAAGATAGTTTCCAGGGAGAACTGCGAGGTCGACCTGGTTAGGTATATTGCTAGCAATGGGGTTCTTAGTCTCCATTATCATCTCCTGCTGGATATAGGCCTCCCCCATAGACTGCCATAAGGAACGGTCCTGAACCACTTGCATACTTGATTTTTACTGCTGACCTTTCAGCTTAACTATACCAGAAGTTGTTTTATTACTTTAAATAACATCAGTGATCGTTCTCTCAGGTGATGGACACGTACAACGAAGTGGAGAAGGCGCTCGGCACCACCTTGGACGACTTCGACGCCGCCGAGCTAGAGCTGGAGCTAAAGGAACTACTCGACACGAACACGGGCGCCAGCGGTGGCACTCCCGCGAAGCCACAGAAAGAAGGTATTGTTGCTTCAACTGTAAATAATATTCAAACAACAAATAAAAACAAAATATATATATATATATATATTTTTACTGTTTATAATTAGAAAGAAAGAAAGAAATAATTTAATCGAAGAAGCATGCGGCTCACACAGTAGCGCACAAAACAAGAACAAAAAAAAACAAAACAAGCAAAAGAAAATAATAATTGTATACAAATAGAAAGCAATTAGCAATCAGAGAAGCTTGTTTGCCATTCTAAGTTGTAAAAAAAAAAAAAAAAAACAAACAAACAGTAGGACAACTCTTGAATCCAATATGGATCTCAATTCAAATCTATGGCTAATGACAATTTAATACTGCACTCGTGTAGCAACAGTTTGATTGTATCTGACATTGTTTATATGTAAAATTCCTATCATACCTATTCGACACAATGTAATATTGTTATGAATAAATTGAATTGAAATTGAAAGTTAGGAATTAGCTACAATTAGGATCGGTTTACAATAGTTTGCATTTGCATGTAATTACTCCTCTCCATCCAAAGTTGCCTGCAAGAGATCGTTCTTAGCGATAAGGTCGCCCATTGTTTTCTCACTGTGATTATTTCTTGTAATTGTTTGTATCTATAAAAAGTTTACTATTGTAATTTTATGGAGGAAAATAATAAGGAGTATCTATCTATCTATATATTTACATCAAAAATAATATGTAAAAAATTGATAAAAATTTACATTTGATGCCTAGCATTTTTTTTTTTGATGGGTGAAAATGGTATGGTAGCCCCGCCTGCGCTAACGGGATACGCTGGCGGAGCACCAGTGAAGGGTGATAGGTGAGAATGAAAACAGGCCAGTTAGCCCATCACGATGAATTCATCAGGAATTAACTAGCAATGAGATTCTCAGTCTCCATTACTAACAATTCTTTTAAAAATAAATAAATGTTTGCCAGCTCCCAAGGTGCCGCAGCGTACCCAGCCGCGGAAAGTATCAGAACGCGACTTCGTGTTCGACGGAGAGGAGCGCATCCTGGCCGAGCTGAACGAGCTCGACGTGGAGGACTCCAGCCCGAGGGGCAAGACCAAGCCGGCCAAGGTGGCCGTCGCGGACTGGGCGCCCTCTGGTGAGTGTAATAGTGTCAAATAACTTTAATCATAAATCGTTAGTGTCCGACCAAACTTTCGGTTTCGGCCAAAAATTCTATTTTCGAGCTTAGTTTCCGTTTCGGCCATAAATTAGCCGAATCTTTCGGCCGCGCCGAATGTTTGTGTGTGTGTTTGTGTTGTGTGTCTAACTGAAAGTTGTTATTTTTTAACTTCCAAGAGTAAGTCATGATTTTAACATGTTTTTATATATAAATATATATGACATATTTGTTACATACTTTAATTAGTATTTATTATTACCCTTTAACTATTTGTGTGTTTGTGTAAATAATTGTGTAAAAAATACACTAGATTTCAGTATAGAAGACAAATTTGAAATATGTTACAGTAAGTTTCGGTTAATCATAAATCATCCAAAACCTATCCATCATAATAATTTAATGATTTAAAAAAAACAACTGCAATCCGGGTAAAACCAATTATACTATCTACTAAACCGATTTTGATGAAATTTGTATGAGATCAATCTGAAAGTATCCTTTTGGATAAAAAAGTCCAAATCGGTTTATAAATGACAGAGTTCTAGGGTAATAAATATAAAAAGAAATGCCAAATCTAATATAAATTCTCGTGTCGTGGTGTTTGTTACCAAACTCCTCCGAAATGGCTTTACCGATTTTCATATAATTTTGTGTGCATATTGGGTAGGTCTGAGAATCGGCCAACATCTATTTTTCATACCCCTCAATGATAGGGGTGACCGACACCCAAAAAAAATTTTTTTTTTCTTTATTTGACAACTTTTTTATTTTTATTTTATTATGATTTAGCATTGAAAAATACATACAAATTCAAATTTTCACGCTTTTACAATCAACCCCTGTTTTTTAATCGTGATTTTTATATGCTGCAATAGGGTTGCAAGATGGCAATCGAATATAATAATTGTAGTAGGATAAATTTTCATGTATAGTTCTCGAAATAACGTATATGGTAAAACAACGTTTGCCGAGTCAGCTAGTCTCTTTATAAATGACAAAGTTCTGGAGTAGTATATATATATATAAAAAAGGGATACAATCAAATTGAGAGGTGGGGGAGTGGGATTATTAGTAATACGGACTATCAGTCTCATTACTAGCAATATGTGGTCAGGTCTACCTCCCTGCGGTCCCTTCTAGAAACAATTGCTCTAAATGTCAAGTCTATACGTTATGATGGACCAACTGACATGTTTTCATACTTATCATTCCTTACTGGTGCCCCAGGGAGAGAAGGGATTGTTAGTAATGAGAATTAATAGCCCCATTGCTAGCAATATACCTTGTCAAGTTGACCTGCTCGTGGTTCCCCTGGAAACCATAGTGATTGATTTATTGTTAGATTCGTCACGGTGGGCCAACTGACCTGCTTTATCCTCACCTATCATCCTTCACTGGTGCCTCGCCAGTGTATACCGATAGTGCGGGAGGGGTTACCATTCCATTATCATCTATTAAAAAATATATGAAGTACTACGTTCATGATTCACTGTTCACCCCAAAGGTTGACTGGTAGAGAATGCTACTAGCATTGAGTCTGCCTTTTGCACCATATTTTCTTTCCGTCAATAAAGTTATTTAAATAAAAAATGTACTGCTCCAGCAGCGAAGGAGGCAAAGCCAGCGCAACGTAAGGAGAAGCCGAGTAAACCATGGTACCCGGCGGACGGATGGGGCAACAACAACGGGGACTACGCGGAGCTCCGTCAGGACGACCGGCTGCACCCCGGTATCATCATCATCAGCATATATAGCCCTTAACCCTTCAAAGCCTGACTTTTTAAATCAAATTAAAAAATATATAAGTGTACCCTTTACTGTGTTTACTAATGGGGAAAAATAGTATAAAAATCAAAACGATATTTTTATATATTTATTTTGAAAAAAACGTTGTTGTAACATGTAAACAGCCAAATATTAAAATAAAATCTTTTAGGATTGTAGGCGCCCAATGGGATTTATAACCCCGGTGTCAAATTTGAAACTTCAGGTATTTAAGGATTAACTACCCACTGTTAAACATAAGCCTTCCCTTTATAGAGGTTTTGGTAGTAATTGCCACCCTTGGCAGGGACACTGCAGCCCATTCCTTGCCATTCCTTTATCATCTCTTACGACACTTTAACTAGCATTATTTTTATTGTTTTGGCTGTTAACTATCCACTGTTGATATTATTTAATTTAATGTGCAAAAATTAATCTCTCATTTGACTAAAGACTGTTATTGAATGACTCATGTATTTAACTTTCACTTTCTACGTCACCGCCCCACTTTTTTCGAGCGATACTTCTATGCGCTAGAGAGCAGACTTGCTTTGGCTTCCTAGTAGCACAATAGAAAGGACCAATATAAAATTATATTGGAGAGCTCGTTTTATTGATTTAAAGCTCAATTTCCCATAAACCTTCCCCTTGAGAGGTTTTTTTTTAATGGATGATGGAATGGTAACCTCACCCGCACTATCGGTATACACCGGCGGGGCACCAGTGAGGGATGACAGGTGAGGATGAAGCAGGTCAGTTAACCCATCGTGACGAATTCAACAAAAATTGTTGACGATGGTTTCCAGGGGGAACTACGTGGAGGTCGACCTAATAGGGCATATTGCTAGCAATGGGGCTGTCAAACTCCATTGCTAACAATCCTTTTCCCCCCCTAGGCAGATGGGTAACTGCAGTTAGACTTTTAGACATGTTTTAAGAGAGACGCTGCTGCCCATCTCTCATCCTCCTTTAGTCGACTCTTACGACACCCACGGGAAAAGAAGGGGTGGCCTATTCTATACTGGGACCACACGACCAGAATTATATGTTTATATTTATGTTTAGTTACAATTAGTAATAGTTATTATTGTATTCATTTCAGCCATTATCCGTCCACTGCTGGACATAAACCTCCCCCATAATAATAATAATAATAATAATATATAAGCCTTTATTAAAGAAGTAACATAATAAACAATTCAATGTAATTAATATTCAATCAGTAACTGTTCTGTCACCACTCATCTCTTTTCTCCCCATCGGACAAAGCTATGTGACCAGAATTTTCCATTCATTTTCTTATAATTTTAAAATGCACTGTACTGTTTTTTTATATTTGCCAACCCATAGAATATATAGATATATGTATTCCAGGCCAACCCCTGAACGTGGACTTCACGACTCCGCCGCGGCTCTACAACATGGACTTCCAGGTGCGCGACCACAAGGTGGACGGTGGCGTCTGGTTGTACAACAGCAAGGACAGTAACAGCAACACGGAGCTCGCCGGCACCGAGTACTTTAGGTGAAATTAAATTAATTAATTTGCCAAACAGTCTTAAAATTATTACAAAAGCCTTCATTTTTTTTTTACAACTTAGAATGAAACAAGCTGACGGCCCACCTGATGGAAATTTTATTACCGTCGTTTAGACATGAGCAGTACTATAGAATATATAGATATATGTATTCCAGGCCAACCCCTGAACGTGGACTTCACGACTCCCCGCGGCTCTATTCAACATGGACTCAGGTGTTATTCGCGACCACAAATTCACGCCATATATACATACTTTTGTTTTACAACAGCTAATTGACAGTAAGCAACACGTGGTCGGCACCAAATCTTTAGGTGAAATTAAAATTAATTAATTTTGTTAAACAGTCTTAGAATTATTACAATTTTTTTTTTTTTATACAACTTAGAATGGCAAACAAGCTGACGGCCCACCTGATGGAAAGTGGTAACTGTCGCCTATAGACATGAGCAGTACCATGGACATAACAGAGTATACTGTTTCGCCCATGATACCTCCCATGCATTGCCATTCCTGAGGACTCAGGTGTTAATTCTCTGTACCCTGTAAATTCACTGCCATATCCCACCCTTCAAATCGAAACACAGCCATGCAAACACAACTGATTCACGGTTGAAACACGAATGGGACAGAGGTGCCCAAGCAATCGACTTTTGTACAAAGTCTCCCTCTGGTAAATATCCCTCTTTACCTGCATACTGGCACTGTTTCATTTACATAAAGTTTACGCATCCATCCGCTGTGGCGCTGCTGGTGAAGAAAAATTTAATCGTCGTCAGTTACTAATATGGCCGCTTCAACCGCATAGAAAAATCCCTTATTGTGACGCTAAATTGATCCGCTTGATTAATAACAACCATTATAGTTGTTCTATCGCTGTACAGCTCATGTGTGTATTTATTTATTTTATTCATTAGTATATATATGTGTACATGGCGGACTTAATGCTAAAAGCATTCTCTCTCAGTCAACCATAGGCAAGTGGCAGAATACTCGAATGCGGTACTAGTAATTATTGATTAAAACGACGCTGCTGCCCATCCTTTGACCATCAAGTTCTCTTAGTCTTCTAACAACATGGTAAAGGAAGGAGTGACGTATTTTAAACTGTGACCACGCAGCGGTATACAGGATGGAAGGGACAGATTGGCCAAAACGAAAACAGCTGATTCAGATGAACGGTCTGAATCAGACGGCAGATTGTTTTCCCGCCGGAAATGCACCGTAGCCATATAATTAACGATTCTTAGTGTTGACGCCGCGCAATGTATTTGAAATTTTACGATCCACACGACGCGTGATACGTAGGTATCGCCCAGTCAGTGTCACTTGAAAGTTGACCCGACACTAGCAATGAGGCTGCTGAGGTTCTCACGTTACTAATATTTCCTTTCCCCCCTCGTTTTCCAGCTCGGAGAGTCCAGGCAAGACGGGTGGTAACTTCCAGATGGCACCAGGCGGTGAGAGGAAAAAGCAGCCAGTCTCCTGGCCCGGGGAAGAGGCGACGGTCGAAGATCTGGAGAGGCGACTGAAGAATCTACGAGGTTTTAATTTACAATGATAAGGTAGCTTTAAGTTCGAACATGAATCTATGTAGAACATTATAGTTCCGTTATAGCACGGCGCGGTTGACAGGTCATCATCATCAGCCTTTAACTGTCCACTGCTGAAGCCTCTCCCTGGCGGATTTTACCAGTAATTGTCTTGACAGGCGGATTGGCAACCGCAGTTAGACTTTGGAGATGTTTTAAGAGGAACGCTGCCCATCCCTCGCCCTCCCTCAGTCGCCTATTACGACGCCCACGGGAAAGGAAGGGCTGGCCTATTCTATGCCGGGACCATACGGCAAAACGTTAAAACAATAGAAGAAATTGTTAAAATAACTTACAGTAGGTTACAGAGTCCATCTGTGTAAGTACCTCTGTCCTCTGTACCACTTGTGTTTCTGCCGTGAAGCAGCTGTCCTGGCACGATTTTTACGGTTTGAAAAGTGGGATATACCTGAGAAATTCCAGAGTACAGAGACCTCAGGTCTCCATAGTCCTCATGAATAGTAACGCATGAAGAGTCCCATGGGCGTCATGGTGATCTGTAATATACATGGCAGTGTTCATGTCTATAAGCGATAGTTGCCATTTTCAGGGGGAGGAGTGGAGGATTGTTAGTAACAGATGTTGGTGAACCTAATACTACCAATATCAAGTCGGCTCCCACTCGTTCCCTCTGGAAACCATCGTGGTTAACACTTCTTTGCATAATGGTGGAATATTCCATCATAACATTGAATGCCCAAAAATTATATAAAAGACCAAGTTCACTTTAAGTTGATCGTGTCTGGATACCTTTTTAATGTCCATTGCAGAAACAAAACATAGCTGTCAAATTTATTTGTTTAACCATTTTTACTTTAATTTTGAACATGAATTATATCACCTTGATTTATTTCACCAATAAAAAAGTCATGCGAAGAAGGGTTAATTCCTAAAGAATTAGATACGATAGGCTAACTGACTGGACTGCAACATCTTATTCCATAATCACTCACTGGTGCCCCGCCAGCGTATACCGATAGCGCAGGCGGGGTCACCATACCATTATACCATCATACATTAAAAAAAATGGCATCATTTTTTGCTACCACCACTATTTTACATTTAAGCAAAACATTTGGTACTAACAAATTATATCAATTACTGTTAATAAATTGATTTTAACTAAAAAAATTTCATACAATACAGTTTACATTAAAAAACTGTCGAAATTAAGAGTGGATTATAGCTGTATCTATTTTTTTTTTATACAACTTAGAATGGCAAACAAGTTGACGGCCCACCTGATGGAAAGTGGTAACCGTCGCCTATAGACATGAGCAGTACCGTGGACATAACATAGTATACTGTTTCACCCATGATACCCCCCATGCGTTGCCATTCCTGAGGACTCAGGTGTTATTCCTCTGTACACAGTAAATTCACGCCATATCCCGCCCTTCAAACCGAAACACAGCCATGCAAACACAACTGCTTCATGGTAGAAACACGAATGGGACAGAGGTACCAAAGCAATCGACTTTTGTAAAAAGTCTCCCTCTGGTAAATGTGTATATTGTTCTTACAATATCTATCTATATATTGTCCCAATAACGTATATATTAACTATCGGTTATCCAATATATAATATCGAGACGAAGAGCCCGCTCGTAATGAATATAGATGTCCGACTGGTATGGGCGATATCGCTATAGGTGGGCATCAATGTCTACAGAACTCGATATATAGATATCGGAAATTACTATACTTTACATAACCTTCAAGAAAAGAGTATATTCCTTTTTAAAAGGCCGGCAGCACACCTGCAATGCCGTTAGTGTTGTGGGTGATCATGGGCGGCGGTAGTCACTTACCATCAGGTGAGACGCATGCTCGTTTGCCCCGTGTGTTGTAAAAAAAAATACTAGTCGAAATGTTACCTGTCATACCGCGTTGTGTTAAAACGTGCAATGTATAAAGTCTTTGTTGATATTGTAATTATGTCTTATTGTTTTTTCTTTTCTTTTTATATATATTTATAACGCCTAGATCTAGTACTTTAGTGAAATTTTAATGGATAAAGGTGGACGGTAACCCCGCCTGCACTATCGATTTACGCTGGCGGGGCACTAGTGTGACATAATAGGCGTGGCTGAGTGGATGACGTGTGACGAACCATTCTCAGGCGATGTTATGGTGCGTGGTAACCAAATAAATGACATCGCCTGAAAGTGACACAATGTGGGGGAAATTTTAGTTGTAAAATAATGATTTTAATGTAAAATTAATACTGCCTTCAATGTGAGCCATTCTCAGGCGATGTTATAGTACGTAATATGCAAATAAACAATATCGCCTGAAAATGACTCGGTGCAGGCCAAATTTTAGTCATGAAATATTATTATTTTAATGTAAAATATATACTGCCTGAACGTGAGCCACTCTAAGGCGATGTATGGTACGTGGTATGCAAATAAATTACATCGCCTGAAAGTGACTCAGTGCAGGCGAAATTTTTATTATTAAATTTTTATATATTTTTAATGTAAAATTACAACCGTCTGAAGGTGAGCCATTTTCGTACGATGTATGGTACGTGATATCAAAATAAATTACATCGCCTAAAATGAACTTGGTACAGGCGAAATTTTGGTCATTAAAATACCAGAATAATTTTATTGTAACATAAATCCGCCTGTACGTGATCCATTTCCATACAGTGTTGCATCGTCTGAAAGTGACTCTGTGCAGGCAATGTTTTAGTTACTAAAAGTCATTAATCATAGGATATAATAGCATAGTTTTTGCTTGTGATTTTGCTTGATTTTTTTTTTTCTTTTTATTTACATTTGATATACATATATTTCCACTAACATTTGCGATACTCCCGCGCAAATGGCAAACACAAGCCGTCTTACTTGTTCTTATTGTTTTAATTGCTTCATCCCTTTTTAATTATTTTATAATAGAAACTATTCTGAGGCGCTATTTCTCTAAAATTTACCTCGTAATTTAATATTTTAATTCGATCATCATATCTGCCTTTAACTGTCCACTGCTGAGCTTAAGCCTCCCCTAGGAGGGTTATGCCAGTAGTTACCACGCTTGGCAGGCGGATTGGCAACCGCATTTAGGCTTTAATTGATTTTTTATAGTTTATAATTAAATTAAATTACTATTTTACGAACTATTATGAATTAAAATTAAAAACCAAAGTTTGACTTCAATCTCTTAGCAAAATTAGTTCATACTGGTATGTTCCTTTTGACTGTTTATCAGGAATGTGACAGAATATAATTTAAAAGCAATATTTATAAAACAAATATATAGCTGTAAAGGCTGCCAGTACGTCAACAACAAGGAACTATTCTTAAAATAAAGATTTCGTTTTTATTTATTTAATACTTTATTGTACACATAAAAATATGACAGAAGTAATCAAATGTACAAAGGCGGGCTGAACTCTAATAGAGTTCTCTTCCAGCAACAGCCAAAGTGGAAAGGAGCATCAATGTCAGCGGGTAGAGCGGTGTACAATATTGGGACAATTTACAAACAAAAAGAAACATTTCGTTGTGTGATATCAAATTGGAATTTTAGATTTCAACATAGATTTAGAGTAATGGCACCTCAAATCGACACCAGTGTAGTGAAGTGCCCATTCTGCTATCACTGTGCTCGGTACATTAATATTTTTTTAACTTGTAGGCTGTGAATGTAACAGATCCTTAAACAAGTGGATTTTGTTTCCAAATAAAAACACCGACTTCCTTGCAGCTAGGGGCATATCCCAATCAGCGATCTATTTGCCTAAAGATGCTCCCTTCAGAGCGGGAACACGTGTCGCAAAACGTGCGTGGACTGAATGGCGGTCGGTGATTGATGGAATGGAATGTCGTAGAACTTCTAATAATAGCAGTCAATACTCAAACGTTGACAGTCACACGCATACTATCAGTTGTGGATTAAAAATAATTATAATTGACTAACTATTAGTTATTTCGATTTAGAAACCAAAGTGCTGTATCGTTTTTTACGAAATTTCTACGCAACCAATCTGAAAGTATGTCCTTTCAGATGAAAAAAGAATTTTCCAAATCGGTTTATAAATGACAAGAGGTCTGATGTAACGAATGTAAAACAAACATAAATATACGACCGAATTGAAACCCTCCTCTTATATAGTTGTTCCCCCCCCCCCCTATATTTAGTAAATTTAATTTCTCCTACTAATTCAATATACAATCATACATTGATTAGAAATAAATTAACACTGCCATAAAAGTTCGTGGAAACAGCTGCAAAACATAGCTAATAAGGTATTTTATAATTGACTGTACCAGGCCACGATATCATACAATTGTACCGTCACGATAACATGGGAAAGTAAAATGATGACGTTTTCAACCGATTAAAAAGAAAGAGGTTCTCAATTAGGTTTTTTTTTTATATATTTGTTACACCATAACTCCGTCAAGTCTAAATTGATATGGAAAATTGATTTTTCATCTAAAAGGATATACTTGAAACCAGGTTACTTTTATAGAAATTTTACCAAAGTCGATTCGATAGTTTAATTTTTAAATCAAAATTGGTTTTAGCCCAATGGAAGTCAGTTTTTTTGTTTGTGGAACACAGTCTTAATAAATATTTATATAGATAAATCAATACTATCTCCAAATAATTGCAGACACCTTTCTCTCCTATTGTATCGTGACGAGAGAATCGTACTATATCGTGACGAGAGATTCGTACTATATCGTGACGTGACACGGTAAATTATAATTGTTCAATATTTGATATTTATAGTAGTACTAATTATTAATAGAAATGTTTATTTGAATTTTGAATAGGCCAATTTATTTTTTTGTATTTTTTTTTTTTGTTTGCTAATACGATACTGTGAGATTTTTTTTTACTGTTCGAAATGGCGTACAGTTTGAATGCAAGCAGTTGAGTGATAATGGAATGGTAACCTCGCCTGCGCTATCGGTATACGCTGACGGGGCGCCAGTGAAGGGTGATAGGCAGTGTGACTATCTGCGACAGATTCCTGCCATTTTGGCAGATTTCGCTCCTAAATTTTGTCTGTGGCAAATTATGTTGATGATTTACAAAAGTGACAAATTTTGGTAGATTTAATGGATTCCAAGAAAATGAAGTATGGCAGATTTTAGTAGATTTTTTTACCCTGTCTGTGGCAGATTCGTTATTAATGAAATGGTCACACTGATGATAGGTGAGGCTGGGACAGACTCTATATCTAGATATCGGATAGCGCCCATCACTATGGAAAGGAATTGTGAATACTGTATATAAATAAATATGTAGGGTAGAATAACCAATTTGTAAATAAATTATCTAGTTAGGTAGGGAATTAAAAATTTTTGGAAAAAGCCAAAAAAAAAGATTTGTAATATATATATATATACATAAATGTAATTTAATAATTGTATTTTGTGCCTTGGTAGTGAACAAATTAAGTGTATTATCCATTAATTCATTGATATTTTAATATTGTATTGTTAATTTAATAGAAGCATATCTTTTTCGTCATAGCATAATTTGTGTGGTAAAATAATTTTAGATAAAATACTAAAGAGTGTTCGTAGTTCAACTTATTGAGGTATGACGACACTTATTTGTCAATTTTCAAAACAACTAAATTCAAAATTTCCGATTGATTGTTTAAAAATGGCTACTAGCTAACTTAAGCGATAATCATATAATGTAATAAAATTTTTGTGTGTACTTCATATTTGACAGATTTTTGTTTCGCTACATTGATATTGTTTCTCGGAATCTCGCTAGATGGCTGAATACTGTGTGTTTTATTGTTGGGGAAAAAAATATGCAACGCTTATTGTAAATGAATGGCTGGCCCATTCTATGCCCGCCTGGTCCTGCCACATGGAGGTCTTTTTGAATGATCAATCAAAAAATAATCTATACTTATAATAAATCTGTAGAGAGGCCAATTCTGTACATGAAATATATTTCCAAAATAACTATCAGGCGGTGATTAGTGATCGATACTGATGCCAAAAATGCAATCAGTACAATTTTTGTCTGTCTGTTTGTATGTTCGTTATAAAACAAAAACTACTCGATGGATTTTAACGAAACTTGGTATAATTATTTTTCATACTCCTGGGCAGGTTATAGTATACTTTTCGTCGCGCTACGATCAATAGGAGCAGAGCAGTGAAGGGAAATGTTGGGAAAACGGGAGAAGTTACTCCATTTTTAAGCTTCCGTCGCGTGTGCAGCCTTAATGGCTTCTTTTTAAAATGTAAAAATGTCCAACCGTTCGACGCCGGGACAGACCGCTAGTTTTAAATAAATTAAATTATTTTGTCGAAAATTGACTTTGTCACACTTCGTTAAGTTTCTGTATGAACACTCTGAACACAGTCTAAAGAATTCTACGCTGCCAGTAGTCCGACGGATACGTCTGCACAGCGTGCGCCCCGAATTAAGACCGTTCGGGACACGCCGATGGCGTTGGACCACTGGTTGTTCTATACACTGTGATATTAAATATGGCAGAGGCATCTATGTAGTGTCAGATTTTTTTTTTGTTTTTAATAACTCATATGTTTAATTTTAACTAAATAATATTAAGTTTTGTCTTTAACTGTACGCTTTTTACCCTTGAGTAGGTTTTTACTAAATAACTAAATCTCGGCAGGGAACTCATTCCACAGCCTGAGCGTTTGCGGGAGGTAGTTCATCTGAAACTGCTCTGTACGCGACCTTTTAGGTTCAAGCGTGTAAAGATGAGTTCCCTGTCGATGGCGAGAGGTGGAACAGTTTTTTTTTTTTTTTTTAACAATATGTCCTTTTTTGTGTAACTATTTTATATATATATATATATATATATATATATATATATAAAATAGTTATAATATAATATATATATATATATATATAAATTATATATATATATATATATATAAACGTTGTGACATATTGTTAAAAAAAAAAACTGTATTTATTTTGGAAATATATATATATATATATATATATATAATATATAAAATCGTTACTATATATATATATATATATATATATATATATATATATATATACAGAAACGTTGTTTTACCACTTATATAAAAATCGCTATTAAAAGGCAGACGTTGATCGTAAAACGGTGAAAATTTTAAGTTGTGTGTATTTTTCAATGCTAAATCATAATAAAATAAAAATGGATAAATTTGTTGAAAAAATAAAAAAAAATTATTTGGGTATGGGTCACCCTTATCATAGGGGTATGAAAAATAGATGTTGGCCGATTCTCAGACCTACCCGATATGCACAGAAAATTTCATAAAAATCAGTAAAGCCGTTTCGGAGGACTTTGGTAACAAACACCGTGACACGAGAATTTTATATATAAGATATATTCATTATTATTCATTAGCTATTAAGTTTTGTATTTAAATACCAATTTTAGATATTATTTGCATAATGTTTCTGCCTACCCTAATGGGAGACAGGCGTGACAGATATGTATGTATGTATTTACATAATCTCCTCTAGTCTACATCGTCAAAACTGCATAGGTGCCTTCCCAAAATAGCGTTTCTTTTTGTTTATTTTTGTGTTTTTTTTCTGTATTAATTAAATAATAATGTTTTATATTTTTTTTTGTTTATATATCGTGACGTAATGTACTTTTTTTTTTATTAGAATTTAAGATCGATTGTAAATACAGATGTATATATTGTTTATACCACGTGCCAAAGATTTGTTTTATTTTTTTTTTCCTGAACCATAGATGAAGGAAAATGCCAGTACCCAATTCTGGAGGGCATAGACATGTTTATGGGGGAGACCGTACCCACTCTAAGGTTGTATGGTTTGTTTCCTATCTCAGAATCGAATGGAGCTTCATAGAGACGTCTCTAAAAGGAGGTACATATGAGGTATTTTTGTAAGGGGCCCCTGTTGGAAAATAGTTTTACAATACTAAATCATAATAAAAATAAAAAAAAATTGTCAATTAAATAAAAAAAAAAATTGGGGCGGGTCACCCTTATCATTGAGTGGTATGAAAAATAGATGTTGGCCGATTCTCATACCTACCCGATATGCACACAAAATTTCATAAAAATCGGTAAAGCCGTTTCGGAGGAGTTTGGTAACAAACACCACGACACGAGAATTTAATACATTAGATATTCTTTATTTCTTGTAAAAAAAGATACGACGATTAGTTAGTTAACTGCTTACTAGCAAGGATGGGCTTAGCTAGGTTTATCTCTGTTCGAACCTTATCTAATACCGGTGGGGTTTTTTTCCATTAAATTTATAACTGTCAACAGTGGACATTGCGGGACCACACTCAACTGATTCAAGCAAAATGTGAACGTTTCATAATACTAACAGCCTTCTGGAAGCCGTACTTACTCTGTTTGGTATAAATGAGTCCTGTCCATCATTGAGAGGCTGCTACTCCAAACTGCTAGTGGATCGCCGTGCGTGTGTACCAGCAGTACTTAAGTGCTAGCGATGGTCAGTCTTCGAGTGGGGGGGTGGGGGGGATTGTTAATAACGCGGTCTAATGGACCACTTGCTAGCAATACACCCTGTCAGGTCGGCCTCCACGCGGTTTCCCCTGGAACCCCTTCGTGGTTAATCGTAGTGGAATTCGTCACGATGGGCTAACTGACCATCGTGATTTCATCGTCACCTATTTCAATCGCAGGCGGGGTCTCTGGTGCCAGTATCAGCGTATACAATCCATATAAAACGACATTTTTTTAAATGGAAGATATTTAAGAAAAATAGATGTAAGGCGTGGATTTAATTATAGCAATAGAAAGCAAAACAACGTGCCTTCCACCAAATTGTTTATAACCATCCAAAGGTCGCCTGCAAGAGATCGCTCTTAGCGATAAGGTCGCCCATTGTTTTCTCATTGTGATCATTTCTTGTAATTGTTTATATTTATAATAAGTTTACTATTGTAATCTTATGGAGGGAACAATAAAGGGTATCTATCTATCTAACAATAATTTTTAGATATTTTGTCTGTCTATCTGTATGTTCCAATACCACGACAAAACTACTGCACTATATTAAATGTCATTTTCTCTGGAATGTTACTGGAAGTGTAACTTAAAAATTGGATTATTTTATTTTATTACGACGCCTAGAAGCGGTCTGCTCAATTTTTGTTTTTTTGATGAATGAAAATGGATTGGTAACCCCGTCTGCGCTAACGGGATACGCTGGCGGAGCACCAGTGAAGGGTGATAGATGACAATGAAAACAGGCCAGTTAGCGTATCATGATGAATTCATCAGGAAATAACCATGATAGTTTCCAGGGGGAACCGCGAGGCGGTCGACCTGGTTGGGTATATTGCTAGCAATGGGATTCTCAGTCTCCTTTACTAACAATCCCTTTCCCCCCCGGTCTACTCAATTGGGTTTACTACTTGTGAAATCCGCGCGAACGAAGTAGCGGACAGGAAGCTAAATAAATGAAGTTAGATAACTGGCAAATTGTAAAGTAGGTAACTACCTACTAAAGCTGGGTAATATTATATATAGAAATATCTATATATCGAAGTTTTTTTTAATGGATGAAAATGGAATAGTAACCCGGCCCGCGCTAACGGTATACACTGACGAGCCACTATGAGTGATGACAGATGAAGATGAAGCAGCTCAGTTAGCCCATCGTAACGAATTGAACAAGAATTAGCCACGATAGTTTCCAGGAGGAACCACGTGGAGGTCGATTTGATAGGGTATATTGATAGCAATTGGGAATAACCTCCCCATTACTAATAATCCCTTCTCCCCTCTATAGGTGTACTGTCCAATAACAGATATATTAACCATAGGTTATCCAATACATAATAGACTATGCAATGTAAATTGGATTCTATTTTCCGCGCTTAGCCTCTCATTTGGGCCGGTGTGCGTATGAGTCGTGGCTAGTACAGCCAACCTAACTCCGCCCGGAAGCACAGAAGCTTCCTGGGACCTTCACAGGCCTCACGGAGCGACCTCACCGCTCCGAGGATTTCTAAACGTTGATGGGCCACAGCCTCACATTCCAGAATTACGTGAGCAGCCGTTTCTTCGGCGTCGAAACAGCCTCGACATAGAGCTGTCTGTGGCTCCTATTGTGTATAAATGTTTGTTTAATGGACAATGGCCCATTATTGTCCCTATCATTATTTTGAGGTTTTTCCTATCTAGATGTAATAAACGTTTTGATAGTCGTTGATTCAACGTAGTTTACCAAAGGGAGACTTTGTACAAAAGTCGATTGCTTGGGTACCTCTGTCCCATTCGTGTTTCAATCGTGAAGCAGTTGTGTTTGCATGGCTGTGTTTCGGTTTGAAGAGTGGGATATGGCGTGAATTTACAGGGTACAGAGGAATAACACCTGAGTCCTCAGGAATGGCAGCGCATGGGGGTATCATGGGTGAAACAGTATACTCTGTTATGTCCATGGTACTGCTTATGTCTATAGGCGACGGTTACCACTTTCCATCAGGTGGGCCGTCAACTTGTTTGCCATTCTAAGTTGTATAAAAAAAAAAATTCAACGTAGGCACGGCCAATTTTGATTGTCTACAATCAGTAGCCTCTATCCATCTTTGGTTTTGTATGTCAGTGGATCTTTGACGAATCTAATAATCGAAATTGCGAGAACGGAAAAGGAAAAAGTGGATACGGGCCTACCACCCTCGTTCCTGAGCCTCTTCTAGCTAGTTCGTCTGCGGCATCGTTACCATAAGATCCACATAATATTTAGACCAAGAGCCCGCTCGTAATGAATATAGATGTCCGACTGGTATGGGCGATATCGCAGTGGAAACTCTATATATAGGTATTAGATATTACACATGTCTACTATCTACTACACATCCCTACTGCCTACTTCAAGGGGGAAAGGGATTGTAAGTAATGGAGTTTGACAGCCTCACTGCTAGCAATATGCCTTATTAGGTCGACCTCCACGTGGTTCCCCCTGGAAACCATCGTGAACAATTCTTGTTGAATTTGTTACGATGGGCTAACTGACCTACTTCATCCTCACCTATCATCCTTCACTGGTGCCCCGCCGGTGTATACCGATAGCGCGGGTGGGGTTACCATTCCATTATCATCAATTAAAAAAAAAAACTACCTACTTCAAAAGTGGCATATTGACATCGATTTATTTATTTATTTGTTCAGAGGCCAATACAATATTTATTTAACACTTAAATCCGTTCCTAATGGTGACTAAGGTCGTTACGTTTCTGAGAATTCTAGTTCAAGAAGTTACATTGCTAAATTTATTTTGTAAGTTACGTTACGTTTTACGAGCGTACCTCGTGATATATATTTTTTTATACCACTGAGGTGGCAAACAAACATACGGCCCACTTGACGGTAAGCGGTTACCGTAGCCTATGAACGCCTGCAATATCGGGGGTATTACGCGTTGCCGACCCTGAAGATACCTCTTTATTTATTTATTTATTTTACACTTGGTTGCACCATTTATAAAATAGTAAATACATTTAATTGTAATCAGAAATGATACAAACGGCGGCCTTATCGCTAAGCAATCTCTTCCAAACAACCTTTGGATAGAGGGCATCGAGGAAAGAAAGAAAAACAAAGGGTAGGTGGCGCACTATTATATATTTGTTCATATATAAATAGCTTATTTGACAATTAGCTAAAGTTGACCCGTTTTTGAGACTCGATTCTCTATTTATATAAAGGTTACAACACAGTACTTGATTTGCATGCTACAAAACAACGCTGGATCGAATTGGTTCTCACATAAAGTTAATGCATACATTTTCCAGCGTGTTACATTATAATAATGGTTTACAAAATGCTCTTTTTTAGTGTTCCGTACCTCCAATGTAAAAATTAGAACCCTTATAGTATCACTTTGTTGTCTGTCCGTCCGTCTTTTTTGTATACAATTTAGAATAGCAAACAAACTGACGGTCCACCTGATGGAAAGTGGTAACCGTCGCCTATAGACATGAGCAGTACCGTGGACGTAACAGAGTATACTGTTTCGCTCGTGATACCCTCCATGCGTTGCCATTCCTGAGGATTCGGGTATTATTCCTCTGTACCCTGTAAATTCACGCCATATCTCACCTTTTTTGTCATCAACTTTTTGTCAGCTAATACGCTATTTGACAGTATTAAAAATATGCTACGAAATGTGGTCATCCTATTAGGTACATAAAAAAACATATTTATCTCTGTTTTATCCAAAAATATTGATGGATTTTCAATAGATTGTCAAATTAGCTGACTCGTTTTTTTTATCAATGCTCTATATACTTACGCACACAATGCACCTTGACGTATCTATATTTAATTATTTAATAAATAAATGAATGTTTACGCATTACTTTTTAATGCAGAATTAATAAGACAAAACAAATATAGAAGTTATAAAGTAATCACTCATAACTATTTATCACGCAAAATTGTATGAAAAATTTGACCCGCTTTTCTCGAAGCATTTTTAATTAAGACAAAAAATAGTAGGTATTAGAATACCAAATGGCTAACTAAATACTGTCTATTTAGAAGTTGTTGACCGTTATTAATAACTCTTTCACCGTTCGCATGCGGAAAACTTGACAGGATTACTAAATAAGCGTTCACTTCACTATCAGCAGCAACGCGAAAGGTCACGGGTTGCCATAATTCATTTACCTATGTAACATCTTCGCACGACATAGTCTACGTTCAGATTCATAAATGAACAGTCTTGTGTGACTGTGAACACATGTGAAGTCGTAACTTGCTATTGCTTGAACCTGACAATAATAAAAAAGTATAGTATTGTCATAGATAAAAATAATTGGCGGGAAATATTTGCAAGTACTTTTTTTTAATTTATCTTCAAGGCCAAGAAATGTTATTTAAATTTTAACGATTCAAATTATTAATTTCAAAGTAATTCTTAAAAGTTTATGTTTAAAATTCAAACCACGGAATTACAAGGCTTCACGTCTTAAGAAATATCGGAGTGCGTTAATTTATTTTAAATACATAAATAATAATTTACATAAGTACTTTGGCAGATTTATAGACGTTCATGTTTACAAATTAATTGTAAACAACAAAATGAAAATTACAACTGGATTATTCGCGGTAAGTAAATTTTTTTATTATTATTATTTTTATATATATAAAGTAACACTTTACCTATAAAAATATAGCCCTATTAAGACCGCAAGCACTATCCTCAATCTTAGCCTTATCAAAATAAACAATTTGGTATTATTTATCTGTACCCAGTATTATAGATTAATTAATAATCCTGTATTTACCAGAGGGAGACTTTCTACTAAAGTCGTTTACTTGGGTATCTCTGTCCCATTCGTGTTTCTACCGTGAAGCAGTTGTGTTTGCATGGCTGTGTTTCGGTTTAAAGGGTGGGATATGGCAGTGAACTTACAGGGTACAGAGGAATAACACCTGAGTCCTCAGGAATGGCAACGCATGGGGCGGTATCATGGGCGAAACAGTATACTCTGTTATGTCCATGGCACTGCTCATGTATATAGGCGACGGTTACCACTTTTCATCAGGTGGGCCGTCAGCTTGTTTGCCATTCTAAGTTGCATAAAATAATCTACTTTTAAACAATATTATTACAGTTTATAAGTAAAAAAATATAATTGAAAAAAAAAAGAATAACCGTTGAGTTACATGGCAAAACCAACACAGTTGAATTTAGAACCGCCTTTTTCAAATCGTTTGTAAATTATAAAATACTAGCGACCCGCCCCGGCTTCGCACGGGTGCAATGCTGATACTAAATATACCTACATAATATATAATATAAAAAAAAAATAATAAAAATTAATGCTTTTAATTGATTAAAATCACTTCGTAAAAAAGCCATTTTTTCCCGTAAAATGTAAAGGATTAAAAATGGGTATTATGGGTTATCCTAAAGAGATAGACATATACCATTGCGAACTTTTTTGTCGACCTTTTTAAGGTGCACAATACTGTAATACATTATTTTGATTTATCTCGTGGTGTTCAGCCAGCGTTTGCAATGGAAGCGCAAAATAATGTGTTTATTTACGACATCACATTAGAAACCTCTAAATTTGTCAGTGTTTCTTTACAATATTATGCATGTATTATATATATAAACCTTCCTCTTGACTCACTCTATCTATTAAAGAAAACCGCTTCAAAATCTGTCGCGTAGTTTTAAAGATTTAAGCATACATAGGGACGGACAGACAGCGACAGCGACTTTGTTTTGTACTATGTAGTAATAATTATTTATATTTTTACCCAGTGGTTTACAGTTCGCCGTGTGGTCCCGGTATAGAATAGACCACCCCTTCCTCTCCCGTGGATGTCGTAGAGGCGACTGGGAGAACTGAACGACCGAGGGATAGAAAAAAAAAACAAAAAGAAATAATTTATTTACAGAATCATGCGACTCATGCAGTAGAATTAATGAAAAAAAAAATAAAACATAATAATAATTAAATACAATACAAAAATAAACAAAAAATAATAATAAATGCAAATGTGCACTCGTGTTTGTGTATGTGTATGCGTGTGTGTGTGTGTGTGTGTTGTAATGTTCTGTAAAATAGGTCAGGCTTTTTTTTATACAACTTAGAATGGCAAACAAGCTGACGGCCCACCTGATGGAAAGTGGTAACCGTCGCCTATAGACATGATATATCCACTACTGAACATAGGCCTTCCTTTAGGGGAGTTTTGCCAGTGGTTGCCACGTTCGGCAGGCGAGTTGGCAACCGCAAGCTTTGGTGATGTTTTAAGAGGGACGCTGCTGTTCATGCCTTGACCATTACGTTCCCTTAGTCACCGCTTACGACACCCACGCGAAAGAAAGGGATAGGCTTACTCTATGCTGAAACCACTCAGCGTACACAGCTACAGCCATTGCTCTGTGGGGGAAACGGATTGTTAGTAATTGGGTCTAATTGACCCATTGCTAGCAATGCACCCTGTCAGGTCGACCTCCACGCGGTTCCCCTGGAAACTATTGTGGTTAATTCTAGTGGAATTCGTCACGATAGGCTAACTGACTTGCTTCATCGTCACCTATCATCCCTCACTACTGCCCTGTCTGTGTATACCGATAGCGCGGGTGGGGTTGCCATTCCATTATCATCCATTAAAAAAAAAGTCATTGCTCTATGGTTCCAAAAAATACGGGTTTATTGTAACGACTATAAGAATTTTATAATTTTTATAATTTGCATAAAGAATCTGCTTAATATTTAATAGCTATTAGTTTATTTTAAATGTTGCCATTAACATTTCGTAGATAAATATTTGAGCATTGTAATAAAATGATGTTTAAATTTAGAACTTCTTTATGATTATTGCTGATAATTAAGTATTATAATAAAAAAAAAGGTTGAATTTAAATAAAAAATTGTTTATTCTCCTCGTGACAAGTTCCGTCGACATTGTGACGTCGTAAAGAGCTGCTCTATTAATAAAAATCGTTTTTTTTTTTTTTTTAATGGATGATAATGGAATGGTAACCCCACCCGCGCTATCGGTATACACCGGCGGAGTATCGGGCACCAGTAAAGGGTGATAGGTGAGGATGAAGCAGGTCAGTTAGCCCATCGTGACGAATTCAACAAGAATTGTTCTCGATGCTTTCCAGGGGGAACCACGTGGAAATCGACCTAATAAGGTATATTGCTAGCAATGAGGCTGTCAAACTCCATTACTAACAATCCTTTTCCCGCCAATAAAAATGGTTGTGACCCCTGACCTTCTTAGTGTAAAATTTATCCCATTAAAAACATAAAAAATGTATTAAAATGCCAAGTCTCGCAATACAGTTTTTCCACTACAAACAATATTAAGATTTTATGTAAATTCAAACAGTATCATGGACATAACTAACTAACATGACGAGTATACTGTTTCGCCCATGATACCCCCCCATGCGTTGCCATTCCTGAGGACTCAGGTGTTATTCCTCTGTACCCAGTAAATTCATTGCCATATTCATTATTAATCTATGAAGGTACCTACTCAACAATTCTATTATTTGTTTAAATAAATTATCGAAAGAAAATATGGTACAAAAGGTGGACTTAATGCTAATGTTAATAGCATTCTCTACTAATCAACCTTTGGGATGAACTGTGAATCACGAACGCGGTACTTCATTATTGGGATAGGTAAAATAAAAAAAAACAACTAATAATGTATACCTATAAAAAATAAATAATACATTATATATATATATATATATATATATATATATATATATATATATACACACAAGAAGGATAAAAAATTCAACTTATTTATATGCTAATTAATAATGTTAAAAATAAATTCTGTATTTACGTATTATTATTAATTTACATATAATAATGTTGTAATCAAAAAAATTAATTAAATTAATAATCAGTCATATATTTATGATCTGTACCCGATCCAAAGGTGTAGGATTATATATATATATATATATATATATATATAGAAGGATAAAAAATTCAACCCCATGATATATATATATATATATATATATATATATATATATATATATATATATATATATATATATATATATATATATATATATATATATATATATATATATGAATTCCGAATATTATTTGAAGTCTGTTAAAAAAAATAAAGTCGCATCGTGCTGAGAGCATGGAACGCTGTCGTCTGGTAAGCCGCGACAGAAGCCTTCGTGTACAATAAAATCGGTATAAAAATTCTTGAGAATAGAGGGCGAGACAGTCGCACGAATACTAATATGCAGTAGTGGAGGAAGGCATTGTTACTAACAGGAATGTTAGTTCCCATATATACATACATATCTGTCACGCCTGTCTCCCATTAGGGTAGGCAGAAACAATGGAACGCCAAATGCTTCGATTCAAACAAACCTCTCTCGCTTCCTCCACATTCATCAATCTTTTCATACACGCTCGTCGGTTACGGGTACTTTTAATTTGGCCCGTTCTTCAGCACGTCGCCTATTTGGTCGACGTACGTCCGTCTAGGGCGGCCCCTACCGACATCTCCATTCATTCTTGCTCGATAAATCTCTGTTAGTCCCCATTGCTAACAATATCAAGTTGATCTCCACGCGGTTCCTCCTGGAAACTATCGTGATTAATTCTTGTTGAATTCGTCACGATGGGCCAACTGACCTGCTTCGTCCTCACCTAACGTCCCTCGCTGGGGGAAAAAGGATTGTTAGGAATGGCGATTTAAAGTTCCATTGCCAGCAATACACTCTATTACGTCGATGTCCATATGGTTCCTCCTGGGTAATTAATTAACAATCATGGGGGTGATGGGGGGGCGCAGGCGGGGTTACCATTCCTTTATTATCCATTAAAAAAAAGGGGAAGAGTTACTGCATAGAAAAGACCCTTCAAACTGAAACACATCTGCTTCACGGTAGGTAGTTCCATCAGATGGGCCTTTAGCTTGTTTGCCATTCTAAGTTGTATAAAAAAATATCTTTCTTTTAACCTATTATACATATAAGTTTCAAATAAATTAATATACTATTAATTTATTTCAAACTTACTTAACAAGTTTCGCATTTTTTTTTTATATTTAAATAAAATAATAAGTATTTTACTTAAATAAATAAAAAAAGCGAAAAGTCAATAATTAATTATATCATGTTTATTAACCTTGAGTGACCCTTACAGACGAACTGTGTTTCTCAAAGTGAGCACAGCTTAGAACAAGTGCTAGAGTATGACCCTCTATCGCACTGTAGATATTTTGAAAGTGTCCTTGACCCGTCAGTTATCGTCATGTGAAATAATAATATCCTAGCGACTATTTTTTTTCTTTATACAACTTAGAATGGCAAACAAGCTGACGGCCGACCTGATGGAAAGTAATAACCGTCGCCTATAGACATAAGCAGTACCATGAACATAACAGGGTATACTGTTTCGCCCATGATACCCCTCTTACGACGCCTACTGGAAACGAAAGGGTGGCCTATTCTATTAATCATAAAAAGCAAATTTCTTTTATTACAAAAAAAATTTAAATTTATTTATTTATTTATTTATAAAAGACACACCAACAATATGCTCACAACAATTAAGCAGACAATTTACAATGTTATTAGTAAGTAA